ACGATTACCACGGCATTTCACGCATAATTTGGCTACCGCCTAGGGGGCTCTCTTTTATTTGTGGATACCCGTAATCCGGCGGCGGCACTAAAAAAGAAGTTCATCAACCTGTGGATAAGACCGTGACGCCTCACGTGTAATGATCTTGAAAAACGAGCCAAATCTCACCGATTTGAACCAAGAAGATCTGCAATCGCCAGCGCAGGGATAATACCGTTATTACAATGCTTAGCGTTTCTGGAGAAGAGCGATGAGGGCAGCAGCTACCCTGCTTAATCCTACTTAACTTATGTGATAACATTTTGCTTCTGGCTAAGCCTCCAACTCTGAACTAAAATGGGAAATCTGCACTTTTGGTCGGTACTATAGAAGGCTCTTTCCCAACCTGGAAGACCCCCAAATATTAATGTGCCCGTCCTTTAACTTTTATCTAGATCTGCCACTGATCAAGCAGTGATACCTGACTCCTTACTAGCTTACATACATAGCTAGGTTGTCACTGCAAGCGTTGTTATTGAAGGACAACCGAAACTGGGATAAAAATTGTCCCTCTGGTAACTCGTGGGGGGATTATCGCAACACCCAATGTTCATAACCACTAATGTATCATAACACCTAAGAAACACCTCATGTATCACAAGTACTTATGTGTCCCCTAATGCACCATATCCCCTTATGTTCGTAACTCCTAACGTATCACAAAGCCCAATGTTCATAACCTCTAATATATCATAATCCCTAATGTGTCGTTACACCTAATGTATCATTAAGCCTAGTGTATCATATCACCCAATGTTTCACAGCCCCTAATGTATTGCAACTCCTGATATATCACAGCGCCTAATGTATCAGAACGCCTATTGTATCAAAACCATTAATGCTTCATAGCGCCTAGCGTATCATAACGCCTAATGTTCGTAACCTCTAATGTATCGCAACTCTTAATGTATCATAAATCCTAATGTGTCATAACACCTAGTGGATCATAACCCCTAACGTATCGTAACCCCTAATATCAGCTGACGACGCTGGCGAGGGCTGGCGATTTTCAACCCTTTCGACCACATCTGAGCTTCCACTGAAGTCTACTATATCACGCGGGCATTTGTGGCGCATTTTGTACTGGAAGACAAGGCAAGCTGAGTACTGTCCGAAAACTCATTTTTTATTCTTGTCATATTTATTTTTGTGCTTTCCAAGCCGATGTGCTCTGAGAAGTGCAATGGAGTACAAGAATATTATTAGGGATTGATGAAAAATCCGTTCTCAGTGCCCCTTGTATGAAAGTCAGAAAAAAGTAGAGGGTGGCATGAAAGTGAGGAAGCTGCAGGACAGGGAAACGGTTGATCAGTATTTGAACCTGAGTCACGCTTTTCACATATCTTGCATGGCCGAATGGTGGTGCTGGTACCTACAGTCTGCTGTTGGCCGAGACCCAGTTTCAATAACCCATTGCATGACATTGGGCATATTTTTCTGATAATCCCCCTCCCCCCAGCTTCATGTTAACTCGAAATGGAGTGTCATTCCTCCGAATGTAAACAATTTTAAGTCTACAAAAACCTTCCTTTAAATTCTAACATCGACGAAGAAAATTATTTTTGCTGAAATCCGGGTAAAAATGAGGTCTTGTGAGCACATCAGTTCAACGTCCTCAGCTGAGCCCCTAACCGATTTTCGAAAGCGATACCACTAGTATATAACATGGCTAAAATTTACCAACCTGGGACAGAAGTGTGGAATGATAACCGGATCATTATCGGAAGTCCTTATGTTTGTAACCACTAGTGTATCGTAACGCTTAATGTATCAAAACCGCTAATGCTTCGTAACACCTGGTAACAGCACAGTATACCCCTGCGACCAAACACCCACATTTTGTGTATAACTCACTCTCAACTTATCGGGGTTCTCAACCGTCCCGGACAATACGGGCACTGTTCCAACGTGACTGCGGTGGCTTCGGAGCACTGGCGACTGGTTCGGTAGACTTTAGGGGACTGCGTGTTGCCCAGCTGTGCGGGTCAGAATCGCGTACGACAAACCTACTGCCGTCAACTCACATAGGGGTCACAAACATTAGGGGTTATGATACACTATCTTACGGTTTTATATAATATAATAATAATACGGTCTAATATAAATCCATACATAAACGGTCTTACAGTACATTAGGTGTTATGATATTTTAGGAGTTGTGATACATTAGAGGTTGTGAACATTAGGTATTACGATACGTTAGGCTTTACGGCACATCAGGCGTTATGAAACGCTAGGCGTTATGCTACATTAGGTAGTATGATATATTAGGAGTTGTGACTCATTAAAGGCTACGAGCATTAGGGATTACGATACGTTAGATCTTATGACACATTAGTGTAATGGTACATCTGAAGTTGCGATACATTAGGCGTTACGATATATTAGGAGTGGCGATACCTTAGGGGTTATGACACATTAGGTGCTACGTACATTAGGCGTTATGAAGCATTAGCGGTTTTGATACATCAGGCGTTACGGTGCATTAGTGGTCGCGATCATTAGGGCTTTCGATACTGACCCAACTCGTGCTTGAAATGGATAGGGTTTAGAAAACAATATTTATGAAACACTTAAGTTGAAAGTGTATGCAAATCGTCCTGATTCATATCAAATCCTCCTCCTTTTTCCTGTCAATTGATCCTTGCGTCGAAACATGTGTGCAAAATATTGACTTCAATGGGGCTGATTGGCGCTGGACAAAGTGTAGCCTACACACAATCTAGCAACATTCATATCGTAGTTGTACGGCACAGTGAGACAAAACTTACCTTGCACGAACGACGATTTCGTAATGCGCTGGTTTGTGTAGACTCTGCCCAAGAAGCTGCCCACGTGGATTCCAGTGTTTTCTTCGTTCTAGAAATGATTAGTTTGGAGCATCGTTCATCGTTAAATCGAAGCCTGATATATCCTACGAAAATAACAGAACTAGCTATTGTCAAATAGGTCTAGAAAATTACGGCCATTGATTTGCAAACTTACCTGTTTATCTAAAAAAATTACAAATGTTTTGGGCTGCTCAGAAAATTATTTTGCCATTTAACATGGGTACCGCGTGGGCGGGGGCAATTTGCCCCCTCCCGAAGGTTTTCCAGAACAATTTCTGAACAGCGCGGCGTGGCCGCACCAACTTTCGCATAGCTGTAGACAATTGAATAGCGGACCGTTTGGTATCAAAGATCTAGATTTACCTTGTAAGGTCGCTGACCTACGGCAGGTCAAAGTCAGTTCACGGATTCAGCGAAGTCAATTTCTAGGGAGTCGCTTAATCTAATGCAACAACCCAGTGTTCAACGGAGCCATACATCTCAGAGATGCATTCCTAGGTAGCACAAAAATTGAATAAACAAATTCCATTGACCTAGGGTAAGACGTAAAGGCCAGACCAAGTTTAAAACCAACTTGTTGTAGTGCTCTAGGGATTGCTGTGTGGGGTTGTTTCCGGTGCTTGTTTTAAGTTTATTGACAACAGGAACCGCATACTAATCTTTCATGGACTTCTTTATGGTCAGGAAACCTCACCAACCTTAAGTGACCCAGCTCAACATTTTTTTTCAGGAACACACTGCCTAGCGTAATCGTCGTCGCTCATTCAAATGCAAACTCAAAGCAGTCTGGTATGATTTTTGTAGCCATTACCTCTGAAAGGTCAAACAAGATCACTGACATTGAATGAGCCGTTAAACTTCTGCTTAGGACAGGTATCTAGGTTTTGCGGGCACTTCAGAGACCAGCCTGGAGTTTGATCTTAGTTGACCTTATTTGACCCGAAGGTCATGACTTAGGAATCTCACACTTCGACCTGCGTGAGGTCACGTACAGGCCAATACACTCTGTGAATTTGGTATCTCTAGCTCTCTTAGTTCCTGAGATCTAAGGGGCGGGGGGCAAATTGTCCGCCTCCCCACCTGAGCGAAGGATATCCAAGGCCACCTGGGCACGTTTTAAATATTACTCGAACCCCAATTTCTGACCGGATGTTAGTGAAATCCACAACAAAATGCTGTGCTGTGGTGCGCAAGCGCCTTACCTTTCGAGGATGAAAAGACAACGACGCCAGCCGCAGTAACCCAGTCGTTCGATACGTTCAAGGCTTGTCCTACTTCATATCCGATGCTGTAATGATTTGCCTATGAGTTGAAATGGAGAAACGCTCCGCGCCAGCACAGGAAACTGTCCAAGCTAATGTACGCTGCTAGTTCCGGGAGTATTTTGTTATCTTTACAGGAGAGCTGTTGGACTGTCGCCTGTTACAGGGGCGTGGTCCGGACTACAAGGGCGCGTGAGGGGCGGGCTGGAGCTCCGTGAGACGGCAATGCACCACTTTTTCCAACTTTGTTTAACTATCTGTCACAGGCATCTATGGTGAAAACGAAAAATGCGGGCCCAAGGGACGTGGAGGGGCACCCCGCTCTATCCATGGCTGCGCCTGTGGGCCGCTCACTGCATCAATTTGCGCCGTTTGTTCAACACCAATATTGCAGTTGCCATTCGAGGAGAACACGGATCCCACGCTGGGTTCAAAGTCCGTGCCCGTGATACCGTTTGACCCTCAGAACTAGTGGTCTCCACCTGGGACCGTTCCGCGCGCAGCGCTTCGGAAACCCGCCGGCATTTGCGTCACGGCTGAGTCATGGCGTCAGCTGTTTCCCCTGAGAGCGGAGAGCGTACTCTCTCCTCAACCTCTCTCCCACCACCAAGTTTTCACCCACGTAGAGGCTAGGAATCAACGGGAGCCAATCAGAGATAAGCATAATAGCCGCTGAGCAGGGCTCCAGAATACGACGCTCGTGTATTCAGATAGCATTTACGCCTCCACGGCACCTAGCCTCTGCGCAGAGATAACAAAATGTGAACCAATGAGGACGCAGCATGTGCCGGGCTGTTTTCCGGGAACCAATAGGGTGCGATAGGGGGCGGGGACAATTATGTCGCTTGAGGGCAGCTCCCAAGTCACTGCCGGCGCGTCTGGATGGAATCGGTCTGTGATGTGGGGAAATATTTCGTGTGAATGAGGTGATTCTATGAAATGGAGTGGACTTTATCACCGAGATAGCATAGAAGTCATCAAAGGTAAGAATTATGTTCAAAATTATTGTCTGCTTGCTTGCGATGTTTGTACGATGTCGAGTGGTAACTCAAGTCAACCAAAAACTCAGATGAGGGATGCTCTTTCTGGTAGGTCCTTCATTGCACGCATCGATTTTAGTAACCGGAGATGGCTTAACCTCGCTAAGCGATCTTAACTGACTCGAAGATTTTGCGTTCGACCAAGTATATTCCCGTGTGTGTTTGGCCAAGATGAAGGCTGATGTTCTCAGTAGGACTGGTTGGAGAGTGCAGCCTATAACGCCCATGATCGAACAACCCGGTAGAGCGATCGCTCTAGCGACCTAGTCGTGTTCTCGACCTGTGAAGAGTGCAGCAGGAGTGCGTCACCGTCCGTCGTAGCCCCAGTATGATTACCAACGAGAAGAGTTGCGGAACTGAAGGCAGGTGTGTCCTGCGCCAACGAGGGCGATGTTGCCACCACGAAACCCGCTGGGAACACCATCGCCGAGGAGCACGTGTACGATTCGAGTTCGAGGAAGGGGAGGCTAAGAAAAGAATGACTCCCTGTCTGGCTGTCGAATTTGCCATCATGTGTGGCAGCACAGCCACGCTGGAACATGAGTTATATACTCAGCGGTATTGCAAGTGCTGTTTGTGGATTTCCCCACGTCTCTAGTTGACAAATGTCGGTCATGACGCGGGAGCGAAGGAAATGAAATCCTGGACATCGTGGGGCCACCTGAAAGGAGCAGCGAAGTGAACGTGTGATAAGTACGCACGCCTGAACCGCCGCGTTCGTAGCCAGGACGCGTTTGAGTTCAAGCGGAACAAATGAAGCATTGCCGTCTCATTCAAGCTGAAATGTACTCTCATCAAAGGGGCTGTTGGGCAGCATCTATTCTGGTGCACAACCCCTCGTTTTGGTGTTTGAACGAAACCCGCCAGCGCTTGAACCTAATCACCGATGCGATGCGAAATTGCAGTTCCAGTGGTAATTCGAATGGTGAAACTCGTTTCCTACTGTGGTTAGCGTTGCTCGCACTTGATAGAGGTGAAAAGTTGTTTTTACTATGATCTTGTGTTTGCCCCAGGAAAGATGCAGTTAAAACTTCCGAGTAGTCGTGAGTGACGTGAGTTGTGAGCCACAGGAGGATTAGGAACATGTTTGTTCAATTTTTGCAAATGGGTCTCCAATTTTGGTTGCACATGCGCATTTAAAAGTTGTTTTATACCGCACACTTTGAAGGTGAGGTTTCTCTATAGATCGCAGATTGAACCCACAATGCCATTATGTCCCTCCAGTCCATGTGATTCCCCAAATCACAGGGACTTGGTGTACCCGTACATGTGTGTGTGTCATGTGGTGAAGTGAAGGAATGTGTAATCGACGGGGTCGTTGCAGTTGATAGATGATTTGTGTGTCTTGGAATAGACAAGGTTGGGCGACACATATGGTTCCATTAATGCCGAATCACTGAACGACGTTGTTCATGGTTCTGTTCATTTGCTTCTGCACGTGTCCAAAATACGCCATGTCGTGCAGAACGTATAGTATTTTGATATCGTTTCGATGCAAAAAGGTCATTGCGCACTATATTAGCATGACGATGCGCACAACTACGAACGCGTACGCACAGATGCAGTTGGCTTTGCCATCTGATCAGAGCAGCCGACGCACTGCGTCTGTCGCTAAACGTGACATGCTACATTTCAATTATATTTGATATTGGCAGGAGAAGGCCTGCAGCTTTGGGTTTCCTGGCATTTTTAGTATGGAGTTCTTATTCTCAAAGTAACCTACCTAAGGTGTGACCGATGTATCGAGGGGTACGGGTTTATCAATGTTACATTATCAACCTGAATAGCCTACATCATAGGTACAGGTTATATACGTCATAAAGCTGGTCAATATATGTTGTATTGTCAAAACTAAACGTTGCAGTTGACGCTTATGATCTGACCATCAGCAAATCTTGAAACGTCTAGTTTTGTGGGCATAACGCAAGTATACCTGATAACGTTTAGCCAGTATTCCAGAATAATGGAAGGTCGGTTATCGTTAACATCATTAACTGTTTTGCAAGCCATTCTGTCATCCTGAATGATAAAGTTGTGGTATGTCTATCCCGGTCGAATGGCAGTCGAATCATGCCTTTGACTTAGAGGGCCACGTTACAATATAACGGCACACGACGTCGATGTTATGTGGCCGGTGCGTCTTACCGTGCTACGCGCGGAACGGTCCTCGTGACCCGATCCATAACTCGCGCACGGAACGGTCCTGAGTATTGCGCCGTACTTTCACGACGTCCTTGAACGAAATATGTTGGCAGTGGGACCGTTCCACGCGCAGCTGTGGCGCGGAGTGGCACGGCCGTCTCGCGCTGATGTTCAGTACGTTGACCAGCCAAAACGCTGCGTCAGCGCGGTGAGTCTGTCGGGAAATGACTATCAGGGATTTATCGACTCAGTTTTCGGATCGCCTAGTCGACAATGCTTGAACACATTGGCACATACATTTGGTGGTAATGCCACCACGATGCCCCCGATAGGCTGCGCCCATGTTAACACAATGCTGCCAAGATTTGGCGGCTTAACGCGTAAACAACTAATGAGAAGACAGATGCGGTAACTCAGTCCAGGATCTCGCAACACAACTTTAGGGAAGTAACCCAAAATCTGTGGGTGGGCCAAGCCCGTAGGAATGTTTTAACTTCCTACGTATGTGTAAAATGAAATTAGCTAACTGGATGAACCCACAACGGAGACACACACTCGCATATATATATATATATATATATATATATATATATATATATATATATATTATATGCCTTGACCGGTACCTTTTGCGCTTTGCGTTTTGTTTGTTTTGATTATGATATATCACGACAGCCACGGGATGGGATGGGAGTGAAGAGGCGGCTACACTGGAGGTCTATGAAACGCCCTGAAAGAGCCCTTATGGGTATCACTTGAATGATCCTAGATAAAACGACCTTATCCAATAATCCTCTAATTATGTGCTACGAAATCGAGCCCAAAATATGATCTCGCCTTTCACATGGCCATATCCTGGCTAGGTCACCTCTACGGCGTCATGAACAATGACGATACGTAAGGCTGACGTTATGTGAGCTGAAAGAGTCCTCCGGAAAGTGTTTGAGGACGGGATCAATATTTAATGCGTGGATTTGTTTACAGAGCTAATTAGGGTCGTAAAGGTGGGTCTCAGGTCTGGAAAGGGTCCATCATAAATTCAGAAACGGCTCTTGTTAAGTCAGGTAGGGACCCAGCAAAGGCTGAGAAACAGAGAAGAACATCCCATCTATGGTCTGGAATGGGGCCCATCGTAGGCGCAGAAAGCCAATGGTGGTGTATCCGTGAGACAAACTGTCCCCCACGTATGAGGTAAGAGCCAAAACTACCTGTTTCCCCATATTTCGGGTGACCCAAATGGCCCCTGGCGGGTTTGTGGAAGAGACTTGTTATTGTGTGCCATCCGAGTAAGTGTAGAGAGCCCATCTGAAGTCCGGAAAGGACCAATATTAAGGAAGGAAACCTCTTTAACGGTTTCAAGCGCGGGAGGGAGCCTTTTCCGGTCTGAAAAGGTCTTCCTTCTCGGGTCTGGGTGGGGCCCATCGTGAGCACTTAAAGGGTCCTCTCAGGTGTGCGAAGGGCCCCTTGTAGACGCAAGAAGGGCTGTTCTTAAATCGTGAAATGACACGCTTAATACTGAGAAAGTGGGCATCGTAGGTCCGGAAAGGGTACATCTGAACACCTACGCCGAGAAAAGGGATAAGGACGGCACATAGCTTGATAAGGGTTCCCGTGAAAAAGTGACCCGAAAAATCATCAGATTTGGCCCCTTTTTATGTCGAGGGGTCCCAGTTTTCTTCATTTGTCTTCATACCGACGAAAGAGTTCTTGAGGGGCACAATGGGTTGAACACTAAGGAGGCCCCTTACCTTTCGCGGACAGGTAGCCCCGTAAGTAGAACACTAGGGCCCCCTTGTCTTTCCCGGTCAAGGGTTGAAGGGGGGATTTCCGTTCCAACCCGCCACCCAGGGTACTTGCCAGCTACTGTTCTGAAGATACGGTGGCCGGGTCCCCCTGGTCGATTGGGAGGGCCCAAGAGGGGTGCATCATGCATCGGTCCCCTCCCTGGCGCGGAAGGCCCTTTGACTGGAGTAGCTTATCCCGGATAGACGCAGGGGCCTCATGAACACTAAAGGATCGCTTACCGACACAGGGGTCCAATAATTGGCAGGTGACTCCAGTTCGGTTTATCGGGATCCTGACCGAAATGGAGTGGAGGTCCTTGGCTACGTCCGCTCTTGGGCCTTGTGTCTGACACTTCTCTTAGTAGGAACAACGCCGGGGCCCGCGATTTGCAGTGTTCGAGGTTCCTAACATGATGGGGGGGGGGGGGGGCATAGGGCCGTGATCTGAAATGTCGGAAAGCCTCTTGCGCCAACTGGAACCCTAAGAGAGAGAGAGCAGTTCTTTGTTTCGGCCAGAGATCACTAGCAACGAACAGTCGGCTCCGTGTCGGTCTGGGCTGAGCTCGGGCCCATTTCCCAAGCAGGGACACGGCCGAGCCCGCGATTTACCTTGGTCTTGGCCCCTGCAACGATGTGGGGCTCCTTTATTGGTCAGGGGCCTCAGTACCGAACGTGGTATTCTGTGTTAACGAGGACCTTGAGTCGGTTAGAGAAAGATGTGCTCAACACGGATGGGGACGGGACCTCGAATCACAAAGGCCTTTAACGTTGGTCCGGGCCCGCTTACAGTGAAAGAAAGCATGACTGCTCATGATGATTAATGACGTTAAGGAAATAGACGGTTTCTGTCCCAGCCAGGGATCTCAGTACCGAACGGCGGGCCCTTCAACCCAACTCCAGCATGGGCCCGTTGAGCTGAACTGGGGTCTAAGAGTCAATTGTTGGACCACCTGCGGCGATCAGGACTGTTGTTGCGTCAATGGGGGTTCCTGCGTCGGTCAGGGATCAACTACGGTCTACGCGGGTCAGAAGGCCTTCCGCGTCAGGGAGGGGACCAATGTGACATGATGTATATCTCTAAGGACCTCTGAATCGGCCAGGGAATCCCGCCAATATGGCCAGAATGGCTGCTGGAAGCCACCCCGCGGTGGACGGAATGGCCCTTCATCCCTATACCGGAACCTGTAACCTGCCTCTAGAGCTATTTTCATGGGGAGAGGGGCGCATTCCCAGAAAGAAACAGGGAATTTCATTATTAGCGTTGAAAGAGCGGACCGAAATGAGTTAAGAAACGAACGAGGCCATTCCATGTTCTGAGAACGTTTATTGTTTTTCAGAATGAACAAGTGAGACCAATAATCAAAAGGTTTGAACCTGCACACCCGCAATCTGGGAACCAAGGACAGCGATAACCTGGGTTACAATTTCCGTAAAACCGGGCGGGTCCCGCGCGGGCGAGAGCGACCGTCGTGAAAAAATGCTTTCAAATGTCTTAGAAAATTAATTCGCACCGTTCAAAGGCTATGCTGATCGTATCTGCTAACAACTTGACGGCTGTCCTTGGGACAGATTAACTGTGAAAGCAACACGAAGCATGGAGATTCTACCTTTACGCCTCCAGTTCTACCACCAGATTCCAGCACCACTTCGTGGTGCTGTAAAGGCCAATCGGTTTAGTTCATCAATTTAAAAATCGCACAGGTGAAATGTACGCCCGGCTGTCTTCTAAATGCACGGTTTGAAGTGCTAAAGCCGTCAAAGGTTCTTGTGTTAACTGTGTCATCATTGTCGTCCACCCGTTGGTCACGACCTAGTGTTAGCTACGAGGCCGATGCTGCGCGACCTACGGAGACTGTAACGCCTGGTGTAGGTGTTTTTTTTTTTGCTTAGATTTGTGAGCGCGCATGCTCAAAACTTCGTTACATGGTTAACATTACTGATCAGTTCGAACTGAGTTTTGAACATTTCCAGACAAGCATGGCATGGCCATGTTAATACAAAGTGTTGATCCATTTGGATGTACTTTCGCGGGGTCCTTATATCTCTGCAGCTCAGATCAGGTTCTGACAAAGGTTCTGAGTCTGTCGATTTGGGAAATTTCACTGAACCATTGTAAAACGACTGGCGTCGGTAATTTATTTCATACGGCTGTTTAACACATGATTTCTTCAGTTGATTGACGTCCAAATTCAGGCTGGATTGATCTCGCGGTAGCTTCTGGGTTCTTCTCCAATAATAGAAGGTAAAAACGAAAAATGTAACAAAATTCGCCCTCATGAACAAATGAGCCATATTCGATTATTTTTTATGTGGGGGGGGGGGGGAGGAGCGGCTTGAACTATCAGGGGCCCTTTGGCAACGTTATGCCCCTCCCTCTCCAAGGCTCTGGCTGGCTGAAACATTGGGCCCATCAGTTTGGGTGTCCTTCGTCAAGCCTTCGCCCTCCATCCCAGATGTGGATACATCGCCCTGTCCCTTGGGGCTTGAGGCATCCAACTATTGTGTTGCATAACGTTTCCTAGAGCAAGCGAAAAAAAAATCCTGGAACTTATTCGAAAAAGCCAATTTTTGGGAAGGGGAGATGCTAGTGAGCAGGTACATATGTCTGCTGCCAGGGCGGTGCCACGGATTATGAGTTAAGGCAGGGTGTTCCGGAGGCGTTGTGGACAAAATGAAGCCTCCCACGGGCCGGGGATCTTGGACGGTGTCGTATTAAAGGGGGGGGGGGGACATGACGCAGTTTGTACAGTTTTTGGGGACCCCTGAGACAATGGGGGTGTCTAACTCGGCCAGAGACCACGAACACTGAAACCATGTACAGTTTCAAGTACAGAAATGTCAATCCAGGATGGGGCCTTCTGGTTGTCCATCGAATGGTTCCGCTATCCCAAAGTAGGGGCACCTGCTCCAGAAAAGGCCTCCTGAGCCTTTTAATCCAGAACAGTATGCTATGGTGGAGGATCAGGCAGGATGCTACACTGGCGGTGGTCTAGTTGGATTTTTATAACTTCGGGTGGCTACAATGCCTTTAGTTTGAAAAATGGGCCTCCCAAAAAGTTTGAGGTGGCGAACCACGGCCTTGTCCACTCTGCCTGCTGCCCACTTTGGCTTTTCGTTATCCATACGTCGGCGAAATCATGCTTAAAGTTTGAAATAAGCGCAGCGAATTACGTCATGTTCCACACCAGTCACCAGCGTATTGCCTCTGTACGGAGACGCAACGCGAGGATAGAACAAATAATCACTCACGGCCGGCAGCATTTTGTAAACATCACGTACATATCGGCAGGGCTTAGTCATTCCTGTGCACCCCTGCGCTGCTAGTCTCCGGGAGAGAGCAAGAGCGAGATCTTCGAATTTATTCAGCAAAGTGAAGTTGCTACCAATACCTCATCTGACTGCTTGATCTGACTCATCTAGCTTTCTGACACGGAAGAGGGGAGCACAGTCATTGGGTGGTGAACTGAGACGGTGCAAGATTTACCTGCAGAAGTTCCTACATCGCAGACGATTTGGCGACAAAAGTGCTAGACGACACAGTGAGTGTTGTCTCAGTCAGCAAAGAAATAAGCTGGATGGTGCACTGCACGCGCGGATGACAGTGGTACCGGATACGCATCCACCTCAAGCAGACCGTTGCGACCCGTCAAGCAGCTGTCCGAACTGAAGTTTGCAAACACAAAGACTCAGCCGAATCAGGCTCCAGTGACAAGGCTTAGGAAATAACTCGGGCAAGGTGTGCAGAGGACAAGAGACCAACGAGAGATATGTTGGCCCTCTAATTAAGACTTGTAAAATGTAACGTGACAAGGCGCAAGACGTAGTGAATGGTACGGTACAGTTGTGTAGTTGCGTCCGTTTTGTGTGTATGCAGGCAGAACCAACCACCAAAACCCTCAATCAACGGCAGGAACACCGCTGAAGATGACCGCTGTTGTCGAAATACGTGTGCCCTGAAAACATATGAGGTCACTGACCACAGTTGAACTCTGCTGGCATCTGCTGTCTTCGAGAGACTGTGCCATGTGTGGGTCGATTGGGTCGCTGATACTGTATTTCCAGTGCACTGTGTCAGTTTATGTCTGCTTAGCACACCCAAATACCATTCCAGCCGAAAGCTTTTATGGTGTGCAGACGTGCTGTCGAATTTGGTCAACGGGGCGTTATCAGTTTGTCGCGAGTGGATTTCAGTGTTCCAATGAGTTCAATGTTGTATGCAGTCCTCCGGCTATCATCCGGTGTGTCTATCTACTCGAGTTATTGCTTTGAACGGAAGAACATATAGTTTGCAATTTTCTTTACAACTCTTACCATCACATTGGCCTTAAAAGGCCACCGCTTGGCTCGTATTTTTTAGCTTGGATGCCGTTGGGTTCATTTCACGACAAGCAACTCACTGGTTTCTGTTTTGCGGCCTTGACTCAGTTGATGGCTAAACGATAGTGAGGGGCATTATCACATACCGTTTGCTTTATTAGTTCATCCTTTCCCCGGGTTCCTGCTGCATGGCCATTTGCAGTCCACGCGTTCTAAAACACCGGACCAACATACCGAGACCCTTGCAACCTGTGAGCCAAAAAAGCTACTTGATCGGGCTCGGCGCATAAAAGAGCCGCAGAATCCATGAGTGTCTCATTCTGCCGTTCTTTTTAAATTATTTGCGGCTTTGAAAGCGATCTGGTCCACTGTGCGCTGCCCGGCAGAGGGTGTTTCTATGCGGCAGGGCCCGCCCAGTCCTACTGGTCGCCGGCCTCTGTGATAATCATGACTTTATGAGCTCGCTGGACAAGTGGAACTGGTGTTTGGGTTCAACCTCGGGGGAGGGGGAGGGGCAAAGTTGTTATTCTCTATTCTTGTATCGCCTCAGTGTTCGAAAGCACAATCAGCCGTCATGAATTGCGTAGAAGATCTTCGGCTTGCTGAACGCAGTTCCCTGTGACATCAATTCTTGACCTTTCTAGGATGGAGGTTTCCGCTCCTTGCGGCGTCAAGCAGGAGCCGCGGGCCGATGATGACGAAATCAACCAGCTGGCTGCTCGGATGGTGGAGCAGCACCGACAGAAGGCGGCGCAGCAGCAGCTGCAGCAACAGCAGCTGCAGGCGCAACGGCCCCAGCTGCAGGCGCAGCGCCAACGCCTTTCCGGGCAGGCCAACATCACCAGCTACTTCGCGGGTCCGGGCGGGCAGAAGAGGGCCAGCCCGGAGCCATCGCCGGAAGTCCTAGATACGGACAGCGTGCGGCTGAGGTTCGGCTGGTCCGAGGTCGGCGGTGTGCCTCTGCCCTGCCTGTTCCGCAAGGGCGAGCGCTACTGTCCGGTCCGCGCCGTGGAGAAGATGATCCTCAGCTCCTACCTGCAGAAACTTCCCATGGACGTGTGCAACTGCACCTCAATCAAAAGCTATTTTGTGACAGAGAACGAGGCGAAATTGCTGAATGAGATCAACTACCGACACTGTGACTATCACTATGGGCGTGAGGCGTTCACGCCCAAAGATTGTATCGTGCTAGTGGACGATGCCAAACAGTTTGCGGATTTCCTAGCGCTGTGCGAGCGAAAGATGGTGAACATGCAGAGCAAACCGGACGACCGGTGCGGTTTCTTGCGGATAAACGGTGAGTCGGTAGTGCCCTTCACTATAAAGCGGATAAAAGTGAACAGTGAAAAGCGTGATGTGCGTTTCGTGCCACTCTTCTACTTCGAGGGCGAGACGGAGCACCTGAAGCACAAGGCCGAGCAGCTGACCGGCTGGGACCTGGCTTACCTGAAGCTATGCTGCAAGGTGCAAGGCATCCGCAGCGAGCTCTTCCAGAGCGACACCTGCGACGTGGTGAGCCTGGATGACGTGAAGCGCCACTTCCCCAGCGGCACCCAGTTCCAGACGTGGTGGCCTATCAAGCGATTCGAGTTCAAGCTGACCAACCAGCCGAAGCCGAGCTTCTGGGAATGCCAGCCGCCGCCGAGCAGCAGCCAGGTGACGCCGGTGTCGGCGGCGGTCGGCCGCACGTCGACCGCTCGCCAGCCGGCCAGCACGCCGGCCGTGAACGGCACCGCTGCCGCCCACCTGTCGTCCCGCTCGCAGGCGGTGCAGTGGGTCACAAACCGACTCAACGCCGGCATGCTGCAGCAACAGCAACACCAGCAACAGCAACACCAGCAGCAGCAACAGCAGCAACAGCATCAGCAGCAGCAACGGCAACAGCGGCAACAGAATCTGCAGCAGCTGCAGCAATTGCAACAGCAATTGCAGGATCAGCATCGCACAGCCGCGGCGGCGGTGGCGACAACACCGGCCACATACGCCCAGCTTTTGCTTACCAACGGGGTATGTGTGAGAACAAATTGCGTGCCTCGCAGTTAATGGCACGCGTTACCAGTGATCCATGCAATAGCTGAGCCGTGCTTTCTATTTTTCTTTGTAGCGGGTAACGTCTTGTAGCGTTTGGTTCAATTACACCCCCTTTTACTCCATTACAGAGCTTTTGGGGGGCTTTTGCTTCATTACCCCCCTCCCCCCCCTCCCCCAGGTCTCCAGATGGCATTAGGCTTATGGTGCTCATGTATGGGTGTGAAAAAGGGTGGTTTTATTAATGAAAGTCATGCCTGACATAAGCAAGAAAGGCCCTTTTGATTCCGCGCTGTGCCCGACTTCGCCCCCCCCCCCCCCCAGGCCAAAGGCGGGCGACGCCGTATAGCCTAACAGCTGAGTGGATCCTAGAGATCCAATGACGCCAACGACAAACTCGTGGGTTATCGGCATTTTGACAGTAAGTTCTTATTCTAACAATACCCGACCTATAATGTACCAAGAGGTACTCTTTGAATGACATTATGGAGTCAGCATGGACAAAAGTAACAACGCTCGATTTCAAGCTGTGCCCGTGGTCGCGAGCCAACAAGTTCAACAAACGATGATTAACCAGGAGACGTGAATACCAAAAATGATCTCCAAATACATGTCGACACTGGCATTAGAAAATGTGAACATAATCATTCGAGCTCTTTGCATCCCAATACCTGACGCACGATACTTGGGGCATCGGGAGTTAGGGGCTGCAAGAAACGTAGGCGGCTCAGCCAGAGAGTTGCAGTGACCTTGTGTGGTTCGCTCGTGACTAGGATCACGGTTTGAAACGTCGACTTTTGCCAATATAGCCAATACTTACTTCATGACCTCATTTATGCAGTAGCTCCTGGGTTGTCGAAGGTCGATTATGAACAGTAAGAACTCCCAACTCACTTTGCCGAAAGACGTGGCAGTGGCTGATCAGCCATAACCCGTGGGATCGGTCATACTGGAATTAACTGCCCCTAACTCTTGTAAGTTTATGGTTATTATAATTTTATTCTATATAAAATTATATAATATACAGCTATATAAGATTACATTTATATGATGTAAATATATGATATAAATTTATAAATAAACTCTTATAAATAAAAACTGCAAAAAGCCCCCCTAACGCATTGTGAAAGTGCGTGAGGTGGGTGTGCACTCAGATGTGCATGCGTACATAGAGGTAAAAGGTTATGCAATCAAACTATGCTACTCTGGGCTCCTCAGAGCAAAGGCCGCAACTCTGCAGACACAGCTCAAAATCCGGCAGTTTTCTGTTTCTGTTTGGATTGCTTCAGGGCCGTATGCAGAATTTTGCGATGAGAGGGGCGCAGGGCACACTCACAACCGAAAGTTTTTTTTCGCAAAAAAGGAGCTTAGCGTGCCGCTGGGCACCAAGCTTGTTATGCCCATAAGACAACGCCTTGCGTTCTCGATCTACCTGTACTGAGTGTGTACCCAAATTTTTAAATGGCGTCAAAGTTTTAGCGGCATCGCTTATTGGCGTACATACCATTGGAACTAATAAATTTGAAGCAAGGTGCGTGCCCGGAGGGCCAATACATACTTACACCCCTAGATTGCTTTAGTTCGATTAAGATCTGCTTCTCACTTATAGTCTGTACCTATCAAAGTCGTCATTGCCAGGGTTAATCTCATCTGTCTGTATGATCTGTGCTGGCAGTACAAAATTGTAATATGCTGCTATTCAAAAGTTGTCAGATAGCCTGAAAATCGATGAGAGGCTAGAGTCATCTCTGGCCACGTCACTCACTGTATGCTTACATGTAATGTTAAGTTATGTATATGTTTTGTAAATGTTACACGTCTGGCTTCCGTCACAACCAAACATGGGAGATGGCGCAATGTTCTGAAGTATGCTGTCGAGCCATTGATATTGCGTCAGAATGTCCTAAATATATTCTGATGTAACCGATGGATTACGGCAAATGCAGCAGTCTTAGAACATTAGACGTTCAAATTACCAACTCCGAGAAGCACTTGTCGAAAACAAAAACTTAGATCTCCCTGAGTCTCCGGGCAATCCACTCCGAAAATACCGAACCGGCCGGCCATGAGGCTGCCGACAATATGTTCGCCTGCGTCTCGAAAAGGCACCTCTGGTCATGCCCAGCGCTGTGATTCGGGGCGCTTCGAAACACTGCTGTTTGGTGCCCCCGTGCAGTGCTGTGCCGTGTGGTGGTCCGCCGCGATTCGTCGTGCTGTGCCGTGCAGTGCCATGTCGTGCCGTGCCGTGCCGTGCCGTGCCGTGCCGTGGTCCACCCCGATTCTTCCTGCTATACCGTGCCGTGTCGTGTCGTGCCATGTCGTCCCATGCCATATCCTGCCGTGCCGGCGCGCGGCGGTGGTCCTGACCGGCCGCTCCGCTGCCGCAGGTGCCCATCACGTCGGTGCTGACGGCGGTGAACGGGCAGCTCCGCCAGTCGCCGCTGGCGCGGGCCGTGGCCGGCTCGCAGAGGTGAGTGGACGGCCGTGCGGCGCCGCCCGCGCCGCGCGCAGAACAGACGCGCGCGACCCACTGACGAAGCCGGCCAACTGTGACGGGCCTGCGGCTCCAGCTCGGCGCCGGAAACGTCGCCAGTGGAGCCGAACGCTGCCACGCGGCCTTTGATCGTAATCAGAACCAAATCCGCACTTGCTTGCAGTTCTGGAACATGCCATACATTACTTGTGGGGGCGGATGAGGTGGACCTTTGTAGTTAAGTCAGTTTGCTGATACACCACTGAGAGTTCGGCAAAGTTAAAATCACCTTATCGGCTCTCAAAAGGCGCTGGCTTTGAGATCGGTACGGCGTCCGGCTGACTGGATGCGCGTGCCTATGAGTAGGCGCGGCGGGACGCATTGCGGCCGCCGCATTGCGGAGATGGTTTGAATTTGTTCCACTCGCATTCGAATGTGGCTGGAGATTGCCCGTTCACCTGCTACTTAGACCAGACGGCTAATGTGAACTACCAGATCATATCGATTTATTCAAACTTTGTCCAGCGCCGAGTGACCCGACCTTTGTTTTGACCGAATTCCTGTGTGCTGCACGTACAGCAGGCATTTAGTGCAACCAGCGATGCATCTTTCTCTCAGCCTTGTCTGGCGCAAGGGCGGAGGCAACATTATCCGTTGAACTGGGCGGTACGACTTGGGTGGTGGGTTCAGGGTGCACGCAACAAGCTATGCTTAGCAGGTACTGTGAACGCAGTCACCCATTCAAACCATTCGGAATAAATTTATAAAAAACCCTTTCGGTCTGATGGCATGCCGTAGGATTTTGGCCTCGGGGTTCAGGAACAGGTATGCCTTCCTCGGCTAACAGCACGGGTTCCACGGGACTCCTGTGAAAAAAAACACTTCGCTCTGATGTGGCGGGCTTCCCATCTCCATCTTTCATGTTCCTTATACTCTTCATTGATTTGGAAGTAGGCGCGCGCCCAGGCCAGCAGCACAAGGCCGCATTTTGCCTGTACCCTCGGAGTTGTGCGAAGGGGGCTGTGTACAGTCGTGATCGAATATGGCTACGTTTCCGAAATATTTTTTAATGTCCGTGTATAGCCGGAACTTATGCCACATTTCTGAATGGAGAAGTGGGGTTTGCCTGGGTAAGGAGGACAGCTAAAATTATAAACGACGTTGTGCTCATTAGGCGCACCAAATTTCTTACATGACACACCTTACTTTGTTTCAGCTTTCAAATCTTAACGCGTCTACCTTGATGTTTTCAAAGAAGACATTGCTCGCATTTTAGTGCATGCCATTAGTTGATGGGGCGGGGGGCACCGTTCCCACTTCAATACGACACTGCCTACAGATGTCGTCCCATCTCGTGCATCAGTCAGGTAGCGCAGGCTCCAGTGATTGGATTGCGCGAAAGTGGGTCATGCGCAAGCCCACTCTTAATGGGTGAGTGGCTCTCAGATTACTAGATACGCGCGTGTTGTGTGGCAAGACATGCTCGTACCCTCGCAATTTGAGAACCACACACATTTTACGCGCCAACTTCCGCGGCGGACCAGGCGCGCGCGACGCGCAGCCGCGTGGGAACGCCGTGTACGTCTCAGACCGCGCAACGGTCCGTTCCGTGGCGATGCGCCGGCCTCCTCATGTTGCTAGGGCGTTTCAAAAGCTCGGCGCGTGGATTTCCGACTTAAGCGCAGCGCATGTTGCATGCCTCACGATGTATTGGAAGCAAATATGACGGCCATTATAGTCTCAACCCTGGGCCGTGAATGCTCCCCGGTAGCGAAGGCGACGTTCGCCATCCTTCCCCCACCAGCCTCTGAGCAGCAATGGCCGCGGTGACGCCGCCATCGCCGTTCAACGCCCGGCGAACGCCACCCCGCGCATGCGCGCCATTTGAACACGTCGTGGATATCGTGCGCATGCGCCACCAGGCGAATTGTCTGTGGCGGGTAGCCAGCTGGCCAACGGAGGGCAGCTGCTGACGTCAGTCTACGTAGCGCGGCATTCCTCGTATGCTGCAGTCTTGGAAATTGTGCGCGGTATCACACGCCATTGATCCGTTAACGTTTTCCGCTAGATGTGATGATTGTTGCGGTAGATGGCGTTCTGGCGCTAGTGCCGGGTACCCGTATGGACTATGCATTGCGTTTCGCTGCGCAGTAGTCAAGGGGATGAATATCATCCATTGTACGGACCGCGGCTTTTTTGTAGGCTTACTGGGTCAGTGTCCTGACTCGCTAGTGGCGTGATTAGTTACATACTTGGGAGCCCAAGGGGGAAGAGAATTTTAACGTAAATTTACAGCTGGCGTATTGGCCCAGCCCAGAGCGACCCGGGCAGGCGATGTGGCAGCTGCGATGCTCGCCCATTGGTCTTTGGTGCATTTTATGTGGACAGAAAATGCCAGGTATGGCACAGTTCAAATGTTGGTCTCGTTGAAGCCTTGGCAGATCATCTTTGTGAGCATTGAAATGTACATTCTCATTTCATTGAAGCGAGCGGTGTTTGAGCGTGCAAAATAAGGGTTTGATTAGTCACTTACGCAAACACAATTGGTACGCTGTCTCACTGCATGCAGGCACAGCCAGCACACCAGTGGAACTTACCATCAGCCCATTTCCATTGGCTCGATCCTCAATATCTCTGCCCTTTTCGCCTTCGGTGCTGTGCGCTCCATGCCATGTCCCAGGGCACCTGAGGGGTGGTCGGATATTACGGCACAGGGTAGCCATGGCTGGGTGTTTGCGCGGTTCAGCGTGGCTGTCTGTGGCTGTCTGCTAGTGTGCACGTCGCAGGGAGGGAACGCTTTCAGGCAGCTGGGAACGGTCCCCCTGTCGAACGAGTGAAAAATACCAGGCTCTTCCGGTCGATTGCTTTGTGTCACGGCCCCTCCACTTGGGCGTGAGGCCTGCGGTAAGTTCGGAGCAACCCGGACTACAAGGAATCTATGCCGTCGGCGTCATTCAATGTGCCATACCTCATAGATTCTGCACATTTTGGTGTTAGCAGCGATCCGGACGGTGAAGGCCGTATTCGATCTGTCCTCAGCACGCGCATCAGCACCAGCCACGGCCATTATTCCCCCTACGTCACATCACGTGGTCACAAAGCCACGTGGTTTGCGACGTCACTGACGCTGCTGCCAGGATTTTTTTTGCAGCCCATTTTTTGGCAGGATTTTTGGCATGGATATTTTAAGCGCTACCACATTACATACCTAAGTCTGACCAAGAAGCTCGAGTTTGATGTGGTAGGTCGTGCGTTTGCGTGTACGGGTAGAGTACGAGGTGGGGGTGAAGTGGGGGGCGCATATCTGTAATTTGGGGGAATGCAACGTGGGATCGATAAGAAGGGACTTAGACTGCCTGAACAGGGGTTGCCATGGGGAGGTGACAGTGGTGTGATGTGTGGTTGCGTTCCCAATAATTTAATAGCGTTGAAGTAAACGGAAGGCATGAAGAACAGAAAGAAAGCGCCTCGCGTCTGGAAGATAGACATTGTCAGCACAAGTATGGGAGTTTAACTAAGGATTACATTCATGTCAGCACAACTAGCTGTGAAATAAGTGGCAAGTAGCACTGAAGATAGAGGGAGAGAGATATATCTTTCTTTCTCTTTCTCTTCCTCTCTGTCGACGTTCTCCACAAAGCTCCGATGTGGTTCAGTTAAGTTCAAGTGAGATGAAGACATAAGTAAACCTGATAACAATGCTCGTCTTGTAAAACATAACGCCTTGGGGGTGAACTATTTGCGTGCAGTCGTTCCAGTGCTCTGGCATGGGTCTGACTACAAGATCTGATGTGATTGGATGTGATATGAGACTCAAGAACTTGGGTCCGAGTCTGTTTCTTTTCACGATACCCGAGTCTCTGAGTAAAAGTCCTTGGAAACTATCCTAGTCTAAATCCTGCAGCCTTGATCCAAGTCCATCAGGTCCCCGCTGGATCAAACCGGACAAATTTATGTTCACACCAGATTGTCAGTCAAGGGCGTCTTCACGTGGTAGCCCCAGGGGCACGTGCCTCTTCCTGCTCTTGTGAATTTTATGACTTGTGTTCGAGTCAGTGTTGTCGTCAAAATTCTAGATAGACGCTTTAAACTAGGCAAATGAAGAACACGGGATGTCGTTATATGTCACGCCAGAAATTTCGCAGACCGTTGCCGTCAAGAGACCGTCAGAAATAGGAATATAATGGGGCAGTAATTTATGAAGCTAACTCACTTCGACCGCATAGTCCTAACCCAGCGTTGTCACTTTGACCAAACTCAAACCTGACCTAGCGTTGCCACTTTACTCGGCCTCTTGTCGAGCCTTTATCGAAATGTTAGCCTTTATCGAAATGTTATCGATCGGACTGCGGGTCCAACTTGTTTTGAGTTTCTGTTCTGATAGGGATGGGGTGGGGGGTTCGATATGGCCCTTAAGGTTTTCTGAGGATGCCCTCTGCGATCTGCAAGCGCGCCCAAACTTTCGGCAGCCTCCGGGTGTCCATGGCGCGTGTTTTGAATTTGGGGTTTCTTAGGATCGACATTTTGTGGGAGCACTGCACGCCGATCTACGACCGGCGCGGGCGGCGGGCGGCAACCGACGATTCTGCAGACTTCGTGCGGTGGGCCAACACTGGAGTATTGAGAGGGTTCTGCGTCGTGACTATATGCTTAAAACACATACAAGTATTTTCCTTGGTACACTGAGTTGAACCCGTGTAAGGTCACCTTGGGCATGGTTTCGTACATACGAGCATACGCAGCTGAATAATTCAATTTGCAGGACAGTTGACCTTTGACCTAGCCTAGTGGGATCAATTTGCAGATATGTGGCATGAAACTTAGTACCTATCGCGAAATCTCGTTGAAAACCATTGGCTGTTGTTTCTGCGGTGCTTGATCTTAGTTTGGAAACGGCAGGAAGTCCATCTTCCCACACCAGTCCTCGTTATGAAAAACTGCGGATCAGGGCGACGGTTAGATTCTTTCAAGGAACCGAAAATTTTGTGACTTCACCGGCTGGCCACCGGTCAAACTTGGACGTACGGACCCCCTTTGCAGCAACTGATTGTCCCGTCTTGTTTTAGTTGTAGCTACGTGCAAATTTATATAAAACGTGTGCTCCACATTTTCAAGATTTTGAATGCCACCTGTGGGATTAGTCCTGGTTTTCTCACTGCGGCAGGAGATATCGCAAATTTGTAATTCCCCGTTCGTTTAACATGATGAACGTAAAATTTGAAAGGGTCAGAAGTGAAAAGAGGGCTTGAGGCGGGGTCGTGATTTCGGCTACCCTGGTTGCACAATAGCGTTAGCAAATGTCAGGTTCAGAATGTGGAACGGATCGCGTGCTTTCGAGGGCAAGTCTTGAACCCGTCAATCATGAAAAGGGATGCAACGTAGTGGTGCCTTGGTTGTGGCTGCGGTCTAGCCCATTGCCTTTAGGAACGCAACAGCGGCAGTTCCATGTGTTCGGGACTTGATGGGGGGTCCTTTGGTTTTAGATAATGTTTTTTTTTCTGGGGCCTGTAAAAAACACGGAACGAGAATATGAACATTTGACTACGTCCAATGCCTTTGAATTGCTGAAGTATTCACTTCGTTCATCGTTTCAGCTCTGTTTTCTTTCTTGTTGCCACGTGACGCGAGACACATCCCTCTGCTGACCCATCGTATACAGTCCTGTGGTTGACCCAGCCGTCCATGGGTGGGCCCTGAGCCGGTTTTGGCCGGCCGTGAGCTCCGTGCCGCCTCGCTCGGGGCCGGGAGAAGCCGGTCAAGTGCCGTTCCGCTGCCCCCCCCCCCCCCTCCCCCAGGGCTGGCCACCATCGCCACCGCCGCCGCCGGCCGACGGCAAGCAGGTGGAGGCACGGTGCGACCTCCTTACCTGGAGAAAGCGACTTGTAACTTACGATGGCATGCTCTTGCTACTGGGGTGGAAGTCAGACGTAAGGTCAGGAATGTAATTCGATCTCAGCGTGCGTACATCGAGAACGTAGGGCGGGAGATGAATTGCAATTTTAAATGTGGGGAAATGCTTTCTTCGTGCCACACGTACCAATGACATCGACAGTTTCGTTTGTTTTTTGCGCTGTGAAGTTTGGCTTTAATACAGGTTGCGAGATTATTGTTACTTTTAACTGTGGCAGCAAGTATGGCAGTTCTCTCATACATGACGACACCCTCGGGTTTGGTACGTAACAAGGTCAGCTGAACGACACGCTGGAAAGTGGCGAAATTATCTTCTATCTGCATCACGTTTGTGGTAGTAACATGGTTTTCATACTTTTCTTTCTTTTTTGAAGGATTTTGTTTCAGAAGTGTGTCCCTTCAAAGGAAAAATAAGATTGTAAGCATTTTTTTTCGCTTTGTCTGACCATTTTAATTGCGGAATTAGACGACTTTAATCCGTTATTCATTTTAGAGGGACTGCAGTTCCCGAAACTATTGGCTACTTGGCTATTGGGATTGGTCTGCCATATGCAAATGTGCACTGCGTTGTCGCTGCAGTGTTCATCTTATCTCGCGCTCGTGCAGTAGCTTCATCGCTTTTCTGGTCAGCAGAGATGAATGCACCCTATGCCATGTTTTATATGCGCGGTACGTAACGTCGCTGGCCTGCCTCTCGACTCACCAAAGCTCGATGCAGGAAATCCTGCTGATGACGTCACGGGGTGAAGCTGGCCTCGACTGAATAATCCCTGCCGGTGCCACGGGTGACCAGCCGGGCCCTGATTTTTAAGGTCACATACCAGCCGCGATCCAGGGCTTAGGAAAGGAGGACCCAGTCTCTTGAGGCGTGCTCGCCCTCGATAAGACTGGTGTTATGGACACGAGTGGATGAACGGTTTCGACCAGAACCATTGCGAACCCTGCAGCCATCATAATACCTTGCTTTGCTGATGCCATTGCTGCATTGCTGATGCATTGGGGGTTTTGTGCTTGTTGATGGGTTCTGAACATGGCATGTGTATATATATATATATATATATATATATATATATATATATATATATTTAATGTGTGTGTGTGTGTGTGTGTGTGTGTGTGTGTGTGTGTGTGTGTGTGTGTGTGTGTGTGTGTGTGTGTGTGTGTGTGTGTGTGTCTGTGTGTGTGTGTGTGTGTGTGTGTCGGGTTGCTTCCTCATTATTGACTCGTGACCCATCACTTGTTTGGTTGCATGGTCGCATGACTATTTGTAGAAGAATTGGTGAAAATGAACTGTTGTGCCTTTGCCGTGACTCAACATTTTCCGTGTACCACTCCGTGCACACGTGTTCGTATTCGTGGCAAAGAAGTTGAGTCATTCGACATGGATGCCCCGTCGTTGGCAAGCTGCCAGCAGTGGAGCATTGCGGCAAGTCTGACGGGCCCCAGGTCGGGCAATGAAGTGTCCCTCCCCCTAACGTTCAGACATTTTGCAATTTCTCATTACGATTGTTGCTTAAATTGACACTTTTAGATGCGGATGTCAGCTATCAAACACAAAAGTGAGCAATTTTCGGGGCGCTCTGCGCTTACTCGAATTTAGAGAACTGTTCGCATTCCTGGCGAATACGGGAGTTAGACTGATACTTCATGACGCATGGTGATCAGGGGTCATTTGCTTGGAGCATGGGTGTTGCATATGAAGGCTTCAATATTTTGTATGACTGTCAGAAGTTTTTGCGTAGGAAAATTCGAATCCTTGTCGCACTCACCGCCGCATATCATGATATTGTACAGAACGGTGTCAATTCGCGCTCCGGCAGTCACTGTGTTCCAGTATTGTCAGTTGCAGCGGTACGGCACCACCCCAGCTGGGACGGTGATCCTGCCGGTGACGTCAGTCACACGTAATTGACAGGCAGCACAGCTCGGCTATTGATTGGTGCATCCGGCCATCGAGCGAGCTGCTCGCCCGGCTCCCAGCTGAGCCCCGCCGGGCGCCACCTCACATGCTGCCATCTGTTGGCAGACTGGCAAACCAGACGGTGGTGCCGCCCGGCTACCAGGCCGTTCTGTCGCCGCAGCAGCTGTTCGCGCAGATGCACATGCCGTCGGCGGTGTCAGCCTACAGCGCGCCCAGCGTACCGCGGCAGGAGGTCAGTGCTGCTGCCGTCCTCCGACGTGCTGCGCGACCACACGGTCCATGCGCGTACATTCGTCCGGCCGTGCGGACGTTCGGCGTTCGGATGTTAGTCTTGCCTCTCGCGGGTCGAGTGGACGCTTGAAGCTTCCACCCGTGCCCGCTCCCGTTCAGTGCTGAGCTCTGTTATAAAGTGGCCGTCCCGCATCCAACCGAAGCCGATGGCGTCATATTTCGATGCTGCGTAGTCCGCAGCCTCGCGCAGGGGTGTTCAGGATGGTGTGCGGACAAAAAAGTCGTTCGGAAAAGGCGGAGCGGAAAGAGTAGATAGATATAAATTTGTCTAGGCTTTTGGTGCTGTTGCATGCATGAAAAAATCAAAGTTATGCTGCGTGGCGAAGGAAGCCGGAGCCAAAATTATGTTTGCAACTAGCATTGCATTGGGCACTGGGTGTTTTGCTCAGGGAGTCAACGCAGCAAGCTCTGTTAACCACGCACCCTGAGCCGAAATCGTCCACGCAAACCAATTTGATGGCTTTTTCCTTGAGCCGAGGCTCTGTTTAATCCCATGGTCATCACTTTCATTGACGTTTTTCGCTTTATTTTCCATTTTGACCCTTTTCTATTTTTCCTGAGTACTTCAACTAGAAGCGTCATCATTGGCGCGGCCCATGTCCGTGATTGTCGTCCGTGCCCCGGACCCTTGCTTGGCCCCGTGACGCAGCAGCGACCTCCACCGCGAGCGGATTGCCCGCTTGCGGCTCCCTAGTGGCCGCTGCTATGTCCCCCTTTTGTACCAGGCGTCAAATCCTGATAGTTTTTGCTTCCAGTCTTGTGTTCCACTAGTCCGCTTACTTTCATCCCCTCAAATTTGGTTTTTGTCCAACTTGTTCTTGAATTGCATCCCAGTTTGACCTAACCTGACCAATTTGACCAATTTTTCCAGTCGGATTTTTGCATTTTGGCTTTTTGTCCTTCGAATTTGTTTCTTCAGGTTCGACTCCTCGGCTATGTATGTGGGAGTTTTCCTTCGGCGTTTTGCTTGCGAGTCTTTGCGCTGGAGCCTTTCAAAATTGATAAGTGTGCCTGAAATCATGCCTAACGCCTGTATAACTCAACATGACCTATGAACACAGGGTTTGGGGTATTAAGTCGCGGCGGACACCACATATGCGCGCACCGTCGGTTCGTACTGTTACCACTGTCTAGAAATGCCACGTTACGTTGCTAGCTCAGCACGGTTGCTGGGCTAATGTTATGAGCTGGAGTTTTAGGCCTTGGCCTAGTTTATCCCTGTGAACCAGACCCGCATAGCCGCCGTCATGTTCCCTCTAGCGCGCTGGCCCGTCAGGGTTTATTTTCTCTCACTCCTATACCCCGCGTCTGTGCCAACCCCTTTCCGTCTCCGCCTGTCCTGTCCTCGTCCTCGTCCATCTTCCTCGCTCTGTGCGCTTTCCACTTGCTCACTCGGTGGCGTTTCCGCTGTTGGGTGGGTGTCGCACCACCCACCCAACAGCGGCGCACCACCGCGGTCGGCTTGCGTGACCCGCGCGTGACACCTCGCCCCGCCGCCTCCGCGCAGGGCAGCCTTTCGTCGGGCCCGTCGCCGCGGCCGGCCAGCGCCGTGCCCGGTGGCCGCCAGGCGCCGCCGCTGCTGCCGATGTCGGCGGCCAAGCGCCCGGCGCCGTCCTCGGAGCCGCAGCCGGTCGACCTCAGCCGTTCGTCGCTGGATGTCGGTCGGCTGATGCCGCTGCCGCGCGCCCAGTTCAGGGCGCCGCAGACCTCGCCCGAGCCCTTCGTCGTCCAGAAGACGGTCAGTGGTGGCCGCGGGCCGGGTGTCGCGTCAGAAGGGCGGCGGCCTGGGTGTGGCGTGTGGCAGACGCGAGGGTTGGCAGGCTCGCTTGCTCCGTCATGTCAAAAACTGGGCCCATCAGGCATCAGGTGTGTTGGCAGTTATCATCGCCTCAGATCGGTCAAGACATCATGCGTGCCTCATAGGCGGCTGGTAAGCTACTCTTTCACGGCCCCGCGAGCTGGCATGTGGTTGGAGCATTTGGAATTGTTTGAGCTGCCTCAGCCGGTTATGCAGGGCCCAGTGTATCGGACCGATAGCGGACCGTTCGAACGTCTGCTCGTACGGCGGCGGGGTCACTGAGCCGAGCCTCTGACTCTGACCACAGACAATCGAGTCCCGGCCAGTGCTGTGCATCAACGGCTCGCCGCACGACTTCTCCCAGCTGTACGTCAGCCTGCACGAGCTGGTCAAGCATATCTTCCCCAAAGTGCCAGTGCGCTCGCTGCAAGAGATCCTCGCTGTGCTCGGCATCTACGTCTTCAAGGCGACCCCGTGAGTGACTTCTGGAGCGCGCCGCCCGCCGTCCGGCGGAGGGTTGTGTTACGGGCCCGGATGGCGTTCGAAGGGCATGCTCTGGGAACTGGAAATACACGAGGCCTCTGTGAAGTGTTTCTGTCTGCGACACGCAGGCCCACTTACTGTGCAGTCCAACACGACACGTTCGAGCCGAACTCCACGTGCCAGGCCGTCAGCCTGCGCTGGCTCAAGGCATCTTTCACTGGCATATCTCGGTGACGTCCGTCCACCGGTGGATCGTGCGGGGCTGGCGTTGTTGCGGATGACCGGATTGCTCGTGTGGCCTGGTGACCTCGTGTATTTTTGCCTGTGAACTCCCGTCGTGCGGCGACAGATGCGGTTATCTTGTGTTCCGGTACCAGCTGCCGACGCTCCGCGGACTGGTGCTTTCGGCTCGTCCCGCGCTGTGTGCCGTGTGCCCCAATCTTTGTACGATGTTTTCCAACCTCTGCACGCATGTTGACCCCTGCGTCACGTGTGCTGACCCCTCGTCAGTGTGCTGGACCCCGCGTCAAGTCTGGTCACGTGTGCTGACCCCGCGTCACGTGTTGCCTGACCCATGCGTCCCCTGTGCTGACCAATCGCACGCTGGTGCTGACCATTCGCACGTGTGTGCAGACCTCTGCGTCACGTGTGCTGACCCCTGCGTCACGTGTGCTGACCAACGCGTCACGTGTGCTGACCAATGCGTCACGTGTGCTGACCCATGCGTCACGTGTGCTGACCAATGCGTCACGTGTGCTGACCAATGCGTCACGCCTGCTGACCCCTGCATCACGTGTGGACCCCTGCGTTACGTGTGCTGACCTCTGCGTCCTGTCATGGTGCCTGTGCGACGTGACCGGGCTTCCAACGCGTTTTGAAGTCTGCCGTGTGGTGTAACCTCTGTCGTGCCCTCTGTGCTGTGGTCATGAGGCGAGTGCTTTCCGCCCGGACACTGTTCTCGTATGTTCTCGATCTCGCATGTTCTGACTCAGTGGCGGATGCCCCGCCCGCCAATCGCCGCGTCCCCCTGTTCCGCGCGTCGGGGTTGTCGCACTGACCGACACGCGTGCCATGCCGTCCCGGCATCTCCAGCGGTAACACGGCCTGTGTGCCGCAGCAACACAGGCCGCGTCGCGCTGTCGCCTGTGGCGGGCCGTGACACGCCACGCCGCGCGCCGCGCTCGGCCGCCGCCGTGCTGACGTGCGCCGTCCATCTCTGTCTCGGCAGGGACCACCTGGTGGTGATGAACCTCTCTGGCTGCGTGGTGCCGCCTGACCGGACCGTGGGCCTGGTACGGCTGACCGACCTGCTCACCTTTATGCCGCAAATCGGCTACATGTGCTCCAGCGAGAGCGCCAAGCGACGAAGCTGATCTCAGGGGGCGCCGGCCGCGCCCGCCCCCTGTAGGCCCGCACGGGCGGAATGTGATACTAGTCGAGAGCAACGGTTAGCTATTTATTGTATGACGGACCATGAATACACGTTTGTTCTGTTCGAGCGCGCTTGGGCTCAGCGAGGTGGCGCCTCTTGATAATGGCGCGGTGCCTGTAGAGAGGCGGCGTGCTTTATGTTGGCGACTTCGGGAACGACCGTTGTCAAAGGTTCCCGGATCGCCTGTACCTGCTGTCATGGTGCCGCAACATGTCTTTGCGGCGGAAGAAAAACAACCAACGACTGCCGTAACCTTATATTAAAGCCGACTAGGCTACTCCGGGACAGCTCCCCACCGCCACTTCCTTCATTCCCATACCCGCGGGGCGACTGCGGATGATACACACGCGTGGTGTAGCCAGTCCCCCCCCCCCCCCCCCCATCAGTTCAATGCACTATTTCTTATCTCTTCTGATGCCAGCGCGTCACGCGACTGTTGGACACGCCCACTCCAGGCGCGTCACCTCCGCCGCCAGCGCCACTATCGTCGCGCAAGCCACCTCTAGGCGCGACAGTCTGGCATGCTATCTGCCTCTCCCACCGAGCCGCCCCCCGTCCGGGCGGGCGAGCTATCCCAGGAGCGGCGCGGGGACTGGTCCGGCCGGCCCAGCTCCAGGCCGACCGGTCAACAGCCGAACAGGCTCCTCCAGAAGGCGTCGCCGAGTCGGCTCTGCTCGGGCGTGGCGGCCGAAGCTTCCGGGCCGGCGCTGGGCGGCGCCTGCCACTGGCGGTCGAAATCTGGCAGCGCCTCTGGCGGACGGACGTGAATGACGTCACAGGTGTGTATTCGTCCGCGGGTACGCGGCGGCCGAAGCTTTACGCAACACGAGGCTGCGACGGAAGCGGCGTCCGGATCTGACCCCCGGAGTAACGATGACCCAGCGGGGGAGGGAGCAGGTTAGACTATGCTCCGGGGCGGCTAAGCTGATGGTTATGGGACAGGCCATTGCACAGGTATGGGCATGAGGCTCACACCCGCCTCCCCCTCCAAATGGTGACGTCTCTGCTCCAGAGGTCGTGATTTCAAGGTGTTGGAGCGTCCGATCCGTTTGGAACATCGCTGGATGTTCTTCGATGCACAGAAACGCTGGGGAGAAGCCGCCTTTTGCACGCCTCAGGCTCCAAGGCGCGGACATTTTCGATCGTGTTATGGCTGAGATCAGCGGGAACGGAAAGGTCGTTTGCCGTCACACCATGCAGTCCTCTCCACCCGGGCCAATTGAGGTAACAACCCGTCGCTGAACAGGAACGTGACGCGGTAGGAAAAACGTGGCGAAGTTCAGTAACTGGGGAAAGGATAGAATTATCTGGTTCGGTTCATGAGCCTGTGCAAAGCGCACGAACAGCGCATCGGGATATTCAAATGCACCGACAATGTCCAGCTAGATGGCCAGAAACATCGTCGTCGATCAGGCCTCCCAAACCCAGTCAAAAGCCGGCCATTTACCATATACACGACACCGTTAATACCTGTTGGCCGTTGCTGAGCGTCGTTGTCAAAGCGACCATGACTTACCACATGACTAACATGACTTACCATTTCGGTTCTCGGTTTCGTTATAAGTTACATTAAGTAAGTTAAGGGGAATGTTCAGCGTTGGAAGATGTTGAGGCAGACATCAGACCAACCAGCAGCTACAAACGAGCTTATTTCAATCACGTCTGATTGATGATTGAAATAAGCTCGTTTGCAGCTACTGGTCAGGCTCCTCCAGACAACACCACTTCACTTTTCGGCAAATAAAGCCGTCAACGTTTGATTACGTCATATATCGTTTGATTGTCATGGAACGCCTTTATGACGTCAGAGTGTCTGCCAGATGGCCCTCGTCAGTGTTGCCACTGTGGCGGACTGGCCAACTCACTTAAAATACCTAATAATATACATAATGTATAATATATGACTTGCCGAGATGGTAGTGTTTGCTGAAGCGTGCTTGCAGGCCCCGAAAATCTGAATGCCCGCGTTTTGACCCTTTCTCGTGGTGTCAATTATATGGTGTATAATTGTCCGTCAAGGTATATTTTTACTTGTATTTACATACTCGGTTATATCAAGTCGTCCGATTCCCAGTCTCATTTCCATAATAACTCATACCACTGCCCCAATTCCTGTGTTATGTAGCGCAAAACGTGATTCGTGTTCTAAATTCGCACTCGACGGTTAATGCCTCGAATCGTGCTGACGTAAGACAGACTCCAATTATTCCATGGTCATTTTTGTTGGGCCTCGCTCACGGCCAATGAGGTGGCAGTATTAGCGGGACGTTTGTATAGCGTCTTGCCTGCCTGGGCGACCTTGAGTCTGCAGGAAATGTTCGCGGGCGTCCAAGCTCAGAAACAAGAGGAGCTTGAGCCCTAAGAAGGCTATAGCTGTGGACTGCGCTGCATGATCTTCATAAAGGCTATCCCAGTTCAAAACCCCATACTGACGCGGAACACTCCCTTCAAGGATGGGCTTCGGCAGTGACGTCACACGCAAAACAGGGGGGGGAGGGGGCGGCATCCTGGTCCACTGGACGCCCATTCACTACTAGACTAAGCCCATTGAATATGTGAAGCAGTGCCTGGCTTGCCTGTGTCGTCGCTTCTGAAGCCCATCCCCAACCTGACCGAGAGGTGAAGCAAGCGCTTCTGAAGCCCATTCCCTACTTGGCTGGGAGGTTAAGTAAGCGCGTATAAAGCCCATTCCCCACTTGGTTGAGAGGTGAGGTAAGCTCTTCTGAAGCCCATTTCCTACTTGGCTGAGAGGTGAAGTAAGAGCTTTTGAAGCCCATTCTTCACTTAACGGAGGGGCGAAGTAAGCGCTTCTGAAGCCCATTCCCCACTTGGCTGAGAGGTGAGGTAAGCTTTTCTGAAGCCAATTTCCTACTTGGCTGAGAGGTGAAGTAAGCGCTTCTCAAGCCCATTCTTCACTTGGCCGAGGGGCGAAGTACGCGGGGTAGGTCGCAATGATGCTTAGAAAGTCGTCTCGCAACGGCCAACGCGAGCTGACCGTCAGAGACGGGTGCATTCGACAAATGAGCAGCTCTCGACCGCACGTGGATAGCGAGATCAACGATTACCTTTTTGGCCACAACTTGCCAATAACTGTACGATCGAATAATGTGCAAATGTGTCATTGATGCGCTCTGTATTGATACCCGGCCTGAATGAACTAATTCTACCTTTTGCCCTTATTTCGACGTGGCCACGTCCTTCATAGTCACGTGACGCACATACCTGTGACGCGCCGGGCTGTCACCTCTGTGAAGTGTTCCGCAATAATAAAAAAATAGGGTCCAGGTAGCTACGTCACACACGTAAGCCCTCAACCGAAGCAGCGAATGGGCTTGTGGCCAATGAAGAAGGGCCGCCTGATGGACAGAACCAAGCCACATCCACCATTTGTAGGACGACAGGGGCATGACTTCGCTCACACGTAGTAAAATAGCACGGTATGTTTTGTACACAATAAGTAGGTCTGTCGAAATCGTGTCGACATGTGATAAGCGATGGCGGGTTTGACTGAGTCCATGTCACTTATTAGAGATAGTTGGCTCGCACTGTTCGCGTTAAACATCCCAGGCATCCCGCTGAAGGCCGGGGCGCTCAGCACCTAATAGTAAATCTGGCCGACCTGCACCCAATAGTAAATCTGTCGACATTCAACGGAGCCACCGGGCCATCAGGCCAGGCGTTTACCCCAAGTTCCGGCTGACGAAGCCCAATGGTACCCGACTAGACAAAGCGAACGTCATTCGTGCCCCTCAGTTGACGAGTGGTCAGTACCAACTGACTGTCCAGAAGCCCCTGACGTGATCAACGAAGTCACGGATATTGAGACACGTGGCGTTGACAAGCCGCACGAATTAGCACACTTTATGGCACCTTCCACTGACTGTCCAGAAGCCCCTGACGTGATCAACGAAGTCACGGATATTGAGACGTGGCGTTGACAAGCCGTACGAATTAGCACACTTTATGGCACCTTCCACTGACTGTCCAGAAGCCCCTGACGTGATCAACGAAGTCACGGATATTGAGACGTGACGTTGACAAGCCGCACGAATTAGCACACTTTATGGCACCTTCCACTGACTGTCCAGAAGCCCCTGACGTGATCAACGAAGTCACGGATATTGAGACGTGGCGTTGACAAGCCGCACGAATTAGCACACTTTATGGCACCTTCCACTGACTGCGAAGTTACATGTAATGGGAGGTGCCAAGGCACGGCCCTGTTTCCCCACATCACAGATTGCTATCAATATACACGTACTACCCACTCCCGACCATTTATTTCTTTAGCCCGACAGGCTACACAAATTATCAACGTGCTTTACTGATCGTTGACAAGTCCCCGTACGCAAAACAAACCACCGCATGCGCGTGAATACTGCAGGCTGTGTTCTGAGGCGTCCTTGTACACACATAACTCTGGCTGTAGCTGTGGTTGCAGGCCGGCCGTAAAGCCGTGGCCAGCCGTGGCCAGCCGCGCGCCCACTCTCACCCGGTTGCAGGTTAGTGAGCTGCTCCTCGCGCTCACTGGTGCCGTCCGGCTGCTGGCGCGTCACCACCGTCTGCTGGCGATCGCCGAGTCGACGCGTCACCGTCTCGCGGCTCCGGCCGTCCGGGCCCGTCTCCAAGCGGCGCTCCTCCACCCGCTGGCGGCGGCGCGCGCGCCCCAGCACCGGGCCGACAGGTTAGACTGGGCTATGGATTAGTCTGGTGTTCGGCTAACGCCACCGGGACATTCGCCGGCTCCACTCCTGCCAGGGCGTGAAGACGGCGACGGCCTAAGGAGTCCGTGCTCCTAAACATAGCCAGCGCCAGAGAATGCGAATTGCTATCAAAAGCCACTAGACGGCAGCGACGACCAACAATGTCCGTCATCGTTGATGTGCAGAAATATTTCCGTTAACACTAAGTATTACCCTCAACAGCCATAACTTCCCTCAATACAACAACCATGAAACAGTGTCTAACCACGCACCGAGCGGATGCGCCCCGTCTGCAGTAGCAGAGTTGATGCAGCTGAACCCAACCAGAGCAGGGGAACCTGCGACCCCGAACCCACCGCCAACGGCTCATGACGGGAGTCCCGTGCGCTGCACCGGCTCACCCCGTCCGGGCCGACAGAGCGGCGCACTATGACGCTGCTGCTGCTGCTGCTGCTGAAGTGGCCGTCGGGCGCGGGTCGGTCCAACAGCGCCGACAGGCTGCCGCCGTCCGTCACCCTGCCGCAGCGCCGGCGTCAGGCGTCTCGGCCGGCGGCTACCGACCGGAGACAGTCGACTCCACTGGCGCTATTGGCATGCCCATACAGGCCGAAGACAGTCGACTCCACTGGCGCTATTGGCATGCCCACACAGGCCGGAGACAGTCGACTGCACTGGCGCTAATGGTAGGCCCACAAACACGTGGCTTGTCTTTTCGGCGTACAACGCCGTGAACAGTGAGACAGGACTGGCTGGTCATCGGATCTTTACGAAACACTCCGCTGCTGAGGCCGTATGGTGTCTCCTGTCTCTCACCCTCAGAGGACGGGAGGATGGGCGGGCTACATAGTACGTGATGTGGACCCAAATGAACGGATGCCAGGTGTGGAGCAGGGAGCGTGGCAGGTCAAGGGGCTGCAGTTTGGAGCAGTGATTGCATTACACTTTGCAAAATGCGCGCCAGTTCTGCAGTGGCACGCGTATGTTACGGTGTAGTTGGGGCGGAACGTCACTGCCAGCGTTGCTGCTGTGCATGGCCGTCTTGCGGACGGCGGAACGCAACATTCATAATTTTCGTCACGGATTAGATTGGACCTGGCGAGCGGTAAGTGCGTCTTGCGTGCAAAAGCGCTAGACAAACACCAGTCATGGTGTCATTCAGTACATCCCCGAGCCACATTACTTCGCGCTCGCGTTTTGTGCCCCCCCCCCCCCCCCCCTCCCTCTGCAGCCCAAGCGGCATCAGGTGTCAAAGGCGCCGGATATTGCTATCCGCGCCGCCTTCAGGGCTGGAGTTGCGCGGACGGCGTCGCCGACCCGAACCCACCGGTCGTCCAGGTCCGAGTCGGCGCGCCCCTCGTCCAAGTCCAGGCCCGGCTTCAGCATGCGGTCGCGCAGACTTCCCGGCTCGCCGCCAGGCTGCGCTGGCGACGAGCCCCGTGGCGCCTCCAGCGGCGGCTGCTGGAACCCTGCAGCGGGGCCGGCGTCATTGGACGGCGCACACGCCGCGCGCGCTCGACGCGACCGCGGCCAGCTGACAAACACGCGTGGCCTGATCTGCGGGCTGCGAACGCTTCTACGCCATGTATGCCGCATGTTGCATTCACGCGTACCCCAACAGTGCATGCAACAAGCACACGACAAACCACAAATGGAAGGTATCCTAAAGCAGCAGGTGCAAAACGCACAATAAGGTTGCGTTTTGGAATGCCCATTCACAAGTTACGACCAGAGTCAATGTACCACGACCAAAGGACCAACATGCTATGCTGATTCCTGAGTAGCTTTTCTTTCTATCTGCCAGGGGCAAACTAAGCTCACCAGGGGGAAAGTCCATCAGTCCAAAACCTTGGAAAGTGCGCCGGAACTGCTCCTCGAAGTGTCGAAACATGTCCTCAGGCTCAGGAAAAATTGGGAAGCCGAAGTCGTCTTGCCCGCTGAAATCACATTTCGCATTTTCTTAATGAAGCAAAGAACAGGCACATCCTCCAGAACCACGCCTGGCGCCGAGGGTTACAAAAGACAGGCAGACATTCCCCTGGGGTATCGGTCGATGGCGCAACAAAACTAAACACTCTTTTTCTTCAAAGATATAATCCAAACTTTTTGAATAGATAGGCTTCTGTGATCAGAGCCCACACTAAGCTGCGCTTGTTGTGTGAACCCCTTCCATCCGATCGCGAAATTCCAGGTTAATGGCAAAACTTGGCGGCGAAAGTTTAACTCGCAATGCTCGGCACGGCCCCCTCGCCCTCTGACGCCAAATGGTCTTTAGCGTGACTGCTGCTAACGGTCGCAGGCCATACCTGCCCAGGGCAACTAGCGAGCGCCTAAAGCGCCTCGAACCCACCCCGCCGCGGGTGAGTGGATCGGAGGGCGGGTGCTCTAACCTACAGAGCCATGAGGTAGGACTGCGCACCTCGTCACGAAGCCTAGAAAGCACCGCGGTATACATACATACATACATACATACATGTATTTTCATATATAGATATGTATATATACATATGCATGTATATATATATATATATATATATATATATATATATATATATATATATATATATATATATATACGGCTTCGTCGGCTCCACGCATTCAGTACCCCGCGATCTTTTTAGGGGCCCCAGGAACATGCTTGGACTCGTAATTAGTACGACCACGCCCCAGTGTCCCCAGGCGCTTAAGGAGAGATATTGTTCCAGTGAAGTTCGCACTTCAATCCCGTGACCATTACAAACGGAAGACTAGTTAGCTGCACGGAAGCGTCTTCACCCGACACAGCACGGAGGTCTAAACTAATGTCAGGTTCGAGCAGTGTCAAAACGCTGTCCAACTGATACTGATCCACTGTGAGCGCCTGAGGGCTGACCGATTCAGTTCGAAGTTCCAAAGTTGACCCATTTCTACAACACTTGAATGCATCAAAACACAGCATATATCTAGGATTCTTTGCATACCCTAAAAATGATCAAAGTATTCCCTAAGACGACCCCCACGTGTGAACTCGGCGCGTCAACCCCTGACTCACTTACAACAGTTAGCACGCGGATCTACAATACAGCGGCAAAGAACAGTTGGTTCGGGGTCGATTTCCGGAACTCGGATGGGGTTCTCGCACGGTTGTCGCATGGGAAATTTGAAGATTTACAATCGTCACTCTCTCAGATCTGCAGTGTTCATAAGGCCGGTGCATGTATCCCTTCCGATGGGTTTGGAGGGTTTATAAGCCCAGTGCGTGGCCAACCTCCATTCTGAAGGGCGTATAACCCGGCGCGTACCTACCCTCCGTTTTGGAGGCTGCGCGAGCCCGGTGCGTGACCGTGCTCTCTTTTGGAGGGTGTATACGCGCAACCTGTATCCTAAACGTGTGAGTCTCAATCGAGGCTGACAGAAACCAATGTTTTAAATATTGTGCAACTGTTGCGTAATTCCCCACCGCACATCACGACAAATTTATGATTAAAATGTTATGCAAGCCACTATAAAACAAATAGGGACACCTGACACATAGCAGTTAGTGCAGCTGCCTTCTAGCCAAGGTTGCAATCTTTCTCACCTAAGGGATAGATACTGGGGCAAAATGGTACTGACCTAGGCTTCTAACGACCCATACATATTCCATTTGGGGCCAGAGGTGTAGTTTCCTATTTAGTTGGCTGGGACTTTAGCCCCTCCCTCCAACTTTTGGTCAAATTTAGGAAGACATGGCTTGTACTTTTTATTTGGGTCTAACGATTTTCTCTGCTCACCCCTCCCAAAATTATGTACAAAACTACACGGTCCGGGACGTCAGACTGCTGCGTGATCTGGGCTCAGATGTCAATGCTGCGGGGTCAAAGGAACCATTTCATCCCCACAGAACAAACTGGCCCTTCATAGTTAGCAACGCTGCATCTAATCACCGATGGTGAGTCTGGTACAATACTATTCGCAGCACTACGTCCCTGAGCTGAACTTGTATGTCGTCTATATCCTCCACCAATCTCACTATCGCTGCTCGACAGACGGCTCCCGCGTGGGGCTCTCAGGAGCAAACGTCGGAATGCTACAGAAATGGCGCGCACAAAGTAGCAGTTATCAACAACACAGACGCCGGCAGTTATTATCGGTTTTGACATTGTCCTTTAGGACCTTAATGGTTTTAAAGAACTTACTCATAAAAAGAACCCAGCTTTTAAAAATCCAAACATCAAAAAACGTGAATAATTACAAAATCAAAGGTCCTGCCCAACCGAAAACAAGAAACAATACTTTCGCTTTACACTCACACCACGATTTGGTGGTGACGCTCCGCGGTTCGATGGAAAGCTGCATGTTTTTATTAAATACAACCTTTGCGCATTTTCAATCTGCATTCAGCTCGGACTTCTTGGTGAAGGATATGCGGTCTCTCCAATGCTGAACATTTCCTGACAGCCGCAGACATCGGAGGCGCCGTTGATTTCGCCAGCCCAAGCGAATATTTAGGATGGTGTTTGACGTCATTTTTATACGTTATGCACAATCTGCAAACGAAGAAATCATCAAAAAAGTATCAAAATTAATTTGTATCTAGTATTTGATTGACACCTTACATATGCATGTGTTGCTGTAACGTCATATATTCCCATGTAAGTTTCAGTGTGCAATCCAGAGACGTTGAATGATCGCGCGTTCGAGATATTCACCGTTCTCCCTATTCCCCATGGCTACCCGCCCCTCCAGGAGAGGCGACTGTTGTTTTGAGCGCGGCGCTCGGAGTCCGGTGTCTGAGCGCAGAAGTGTCGTCTGGGCGGACGGTAGGTGGGTTCAACGTGCGCTACCGCGCAGGCTTGGGCCTGAATACTACGGGCATTGAAAGGAAAGAATGTGTACAACATGATGCGATTTGGCTGAAACCCGCAGGCAATTTAGTCGTGGTGAGTGGCTATGACGCAGTCGAAGTTTCGGGAAAGGCTTATTATTATCTGGAAATAAGCCGCCTCACATTGCATACTGATCACAATTTTCTCATCTTCTGTCCAGTGCACGTTTTTGGAGGACAAAACATTTTGGCGCCAAAAAACCAGGAAACACCAAAATTTCAGACGCTGATGGGGCATGTGGTGATATGGGGTATGCGGCGCTATGGGGTATGCTGTGGCACGGGTTATGCAGTGGTATGTGGTAAGCAGGGATGCATACATGAGGATAGCAAGGGTATGGATATGGGGTATGCTGGGTATGGGTATCAGGTTGGTGGTATGTGGGTACGTAGGGTATGTGATGTGGGGCACGCGGTAAATGGGGGGTAAGGTGTATGCGGAGGTATGGGGTATGGGGAAGTATGGGATATACAAAGTATGCGTGGGTGTGGTGTTGACTGGTACAGACCATACTACGTGAGCAAGGTCCGTGCTCAGGAAGCCATCCAGGTGAGCAGGGGCTGATACGCTAGCAGTGAGGCCTAGTAAATATGTCGCCTTCCTGGCACGGTTTAAGACCAGCTACGGTGCGAACTGCGCAAGGTCATAAATGCTGCTCATGTGGTCTGATCGGTCCAACTGACCACTTTGACATGCAGACGGTCCGGTAGAGTATACCAAGTATCCTCGCTACTATAATCACCTGCCCCTGTATTCTCGTATTTACGTTTTCATTTTAGGATCAAGATTTCATGCTGCTGTTCATATCAGCTGCAACACTTCATTCTTCCGCCATTGAGCAGTGGTCTGACCAGTTAGGGTGAAACGAAATAAAAATATGCCCATGAGATGGGGGAAAACGTCCCGCCCGTCCCCTGACTGTGGTATAACTATCTCGTGCCCACCCGATGACACCAAATATACGGAATGAGCAACATCCATAGTTAAAAAACGAGTGAATATCTTGCAAAAAGTATTGACCTGCTCACGTTTTCATCAGTTACATTCAAGACATGCCAGTCGCACGTCTGCAAGGCTTTCAGGCCCATGCGTCCCCGCGGCACTTGAGCGGCAGCGAGTTCAGTAGAACTTTGGAAACTACAGAGCCATAACCAGCTATGAAAACTGCTGCCGGATAACCTCAAAAGCCAAGCGATGCCTGTGGTCGGCGGCTCATTCCCCGCCCCACTTCTGCTTACACATCATTTTTGTTCCCCTAACCAGCAACACATTTTCTGCACACCAGCCCATGAAGAAAACATGCTTACAGTGTGCTACGTTCCAGCCGCATCCAAGCCACACACCTGCGTGAGCCGCCATACTGGCCGGCGTCGTCCGCGTCGTCGTCCGGCTGCTCCGGCCTGCTGAAGTCTTGGGTCCGGTCCACCATGGCCGAGAAGTCGCGGAACAGGTCATAGAACGGGTCACTGCTCCTGTAACGCGCCGCTGGAGCCGTCAGGGCCGGCGCCGGCCGCTCTGACGAGGCCGTCTGCGGCGAGCGGCGGCACCGGTGCAAGCGCGTGTCCACGGCAGCCACGGGCGGCCGTCATACCAACGCACGCTCACCGGCTGCGGAGTCGGGGACAGCACCCGGGCACGACAGCTGCGAGCACGCTTCTGTGCCAGACCGTGGATAACGCCCCGGGATAACGGACGCGGACACACGCTCACTCGACTCATGCGGCCACCACTGGTGAACGGACTGACTGACGACACGCAGACAAATCACTGCCAACATATGTTCAATGTCACAGACCAATGTGTAGGAGCTAAGGATGATGGGTTCCTGCAAAAACACAACTCACTGCATGTCTTGCGGATGGTTTGTAAAATGCCGTATTATGAGACACAACTGTTCAATGATAACATCAAACACAAAAGAAGATGCAAAAATGGGCATGCACCCTGAGCAAAAGGTCTGCTCTGCTCACCACGCATCCACGTTCCTTACCACACATCCCTGTTGTTGTTTTCATCGGCACTTCTGGCTGGAAGACCCATCAGACCTCGAAAGAAATCTCTGAAACGATATGTTGGTAGTTTAGGACACAAGGCAAAGCAAATGATACAGCATTTGCAGCAGCAATCATCCATAATATAAGGAAGGGGTCATAAGCAAGTATGTGTATTTTGTCATATTTTCAGCTACATCATCAAACATTTCTAGCAAGCCTCATGAATGCATCCACATATATCTATCTATAATTAAATAATGGGTATATAGATGATATAATGATTATTGGAATAAATTCTATTATCATATATATATATCATATCTATATCTAATATATATCTATATATATATTAATCTCTATCTCTATCTCTATCTCTATATATACTATATATATGTTGGAATATTTTAGCAGAATTCTTTCTTTGATACATGTTTGATTAAAAATAACTGCTGACCTCAAGCATTAACGAGCTTTTTGATGCATCATTTTAGAGTTTCCGAGCCTTGACTTGCGTCATCGCTTAGATTAAAGATGGTTCGCACAAAATTACTCATATAATTCCATCACTCCTTCCATTCTAACGTTTCGAGATCTTATCTCATCTTCGGAGAAGACTAAATTGCACAAGAAATCAGTTTTGAGTTTTAAAGGATGAAAAATTGTGCACTACTGTTGGAAAACATCTTTTAGTATGGAGAACATAAATGAAGCACAACTAATTGAAGTAAGACGGATTGCTATTTTCATCTTCATACATGTAAGAAACACTCATAATGGGAACATCACAAAGACACAATGGGAACACTATTGTCACAATCACATCAGAAGTGCTCACCGCCCACCACCTAGTAGCTCAAGAGTCCTGCAAGAATTTGTCTGTCTGTTTAAGGCCGGAGAGAGTTCGTTAATGAATATGCTTTCCCAAATTTGAAGGCGTCTTCTGTCACTGCACGTCCGTAAAATGTCAGTACTGTCTGTCAGTTGTTGTCGTGTCAATGTCATGTCGTGTTCCTGTCGCATGTGGTCCAGAGGTGCCCCGTCACGTAAGTGCATTGTCAGGCGTCGTGAGAGTGTCGTTGTGGTCACACTAATGTAGTGTGTGGGACGAAGTTTGCAGCCTTTGATGTTGCATTGGAATTGATACACTACATTGGTGCATTTCAGTTTGTCGGGTTTGTCTGGGCTGTTTCTCATAAGAAAGTTCGATATCTTCTTATTACAATAGTAAACGACAATGTCTATTTTGTGGTTGTTTTTGCCTTTAACATGTTGAGAGATAATTTCCCGTAAAGCTTTTTCATCCTGTTTGTGAGCAGATGTCATTTGATTTTGATAGTACAGTTTGATGGTTGGTTGGGTGTCTTGCCTTGGTTTGCTGTCAGTGTCTTGTCATATGTCATTGTGTCTCATTTTCAATGTCAGAATTTGAAAAACCATTGTTCACCAGGATCTGTTGATTGGTGATATAGATTATACACCAATCAACAGAGGTCACAGATTACAAAATATTTGTATCAATTCAATCATATCATGTCAAAAATATACATAACACATTTCTTTAAAATGGTGATGTCATATACAGTAAAATGGTATATTCTGCAGCATTATATTGCCAAGTATAGAATGAAGCATGGAACTTATGGCATCAGAGCACTGCCACAATGACTCACTGACTATCTATACTACTCTTACCTAAGTCCATCTCCAAATGTACTCAAAGTACATTTGGATGTGTACTCAATCTACTCAAATGTACTCAAGCATGTAGTGTACACAGCAGTAGATAATGGGGTGCACAGGTAGGGGTGAGCAGTGAAAAATAGCCAATAGCCCCCATCAAAATACTAGACTGATCCTTCTGCTAGTGCTTCGAAAGGACATGATGCCATGACAAATTGGGCATGAAATTGAATGCTTCACATTAATTATTCAATACAGAGCCATGCACTTGATGTGTCCTAAATGTATGGCATTGTGGATGCTATTTAAGGCATGCACTGTTGCACTGCAACCAGAAAATTAAACTCCCAAAACATCTGATGGAACCTTAAGGAGCACCAGCATTTTGGTTGACAGTTTGGTGGCCATTTTACTGTTAACTACATTTGGACCTGCTATCCCTGGTTGGATCTCCCCTTTGCACAAGAGATCACATATGCAGGGTGGTACATTATATTGACCTTACCTGAATGGCATCTTTGCCAATTCCTTTTAATGGCTTGCTGGAAAGCTGATATGCAAGACAATATTCTATAAAAAAGACAAAAAACATATTACAAAGAATGTGTGTCAAGCACTAAATGAGCATAACACAAATTTAACACTGATAGCAGCTCAAAACTGTGCTTTGCATTAATCCTGTGTTTCAGAGAATGTCAGACATTAGCTAGAGAGTATATTATCTATCACATCTTTATTTGAGCACCATCATCAGATGCGTAACACCGGGTAAGGAGGTACATACATGGCTGACAAAAATTACATCATGTGAATGAACACAAACATTATTTAACACCTTACTGATTCACACACAAAAACAGGGCTTAAAACTTTGAGAATACAGGCAAAGTAAAAACCAAAGCATCCTGTCATAGTGGTGGTTCATGATGCTGCTGTACTCATTCTTGCTAAGCCCAGGTAGCCAATGATCCATACCAGTGTAGCAATAACAAAATGAGAAAGAGGCTCAATGATGCGAAGTTACCAGAATCCAAGCCGCAAAACACACGTTACACCCAACCTGCCCACACCTCCAGTAAAGTAGCAATATCTGCAACAATTTCAGAGTATGGCAGTAACTTGTTTGTGGGCTGGATCTGACGTGCCATGCAACTTGGACTGTAACATGCAGCGCATGAGGAATGCAAAATACACAGATAATCAACAAACTACCAGCTTACCATAGACGCGACGGCCGCGAATGTTCCTGGAGGAAAAACAATATCAGAACGATCTGGTATTTCTACACTAGAACAATGGTTTATAACCAGTGTTATATGACGCAATCCACCTCACTCCAGCAAGCGAGACAGCTCCAACAGCACTTGCCAACTTGACACCAAAACAATGACACTCTGCGGTTCAATATTACTGTTAAACAACTGGCATGACAATGTAAGCCACATAGGCAAGTTCCGATCTCCTTGAAAAAGTCTCAAGATGATTTATGGCACAAGAGCATTGAAAATTGCCTTAATTTTGCAACACCATGTGACCTTCGAGGTCATAGCTGGATCAAAGGACGGTAACCTAGTGTCACCCAAAAATTACTGACCGGTTTGAAAATTGGAAGCATCAAAATATTCACAAGTACAAGAGCTAACGTTCGTCAAAAGGTCCTGACCTTAAAAGGTCACCCTTTTGAGTCAAAAACGGGCTCAAAGGACGGAGAACCCCATATCGCCCAAAATTACCGGACGATTTTAAACTTACAACGATCAAAATATTCACAAGTTCAAGAGATAGCGTCCATTAAAAAGTCCCGACCTCTCAAAGTCATGCTTCAAGGTCAAACGCAGGCTCAATTAGGACTGGGGAACTCAAAATCATCTACAAATTACGGCCGATTTTAAACTTGCAAACATCAGGATATGCACCGCAGAAAAAGCCAGCTAGCGTCCGTGAAAATTCCCGGCCCAGCCTGTTGTTGTAGTCCAGCCCAGCCTGTGTTGTGCTCTGGTAGCCACTGGTCCTTGGATCGTCCTGGGCGTCCGAGCTGTGGCGTCCCAGCTCCGGTCACATGTCTGAATACACGGCCGGATGAAAGGTTGCATTCCACTGTATGATATGGCTCTGTGGTACGATGGGAAGGGTGTGGATAGCCTCGGAAGGCGAAGTCCCGAGAACCGAGTAAAGTGCAGACGACTGTCAACCCTACAGGTAACCACCTGTCTTTCAACTATGGTGGACAATCACCAAAACATTTACACTCTCTCATCCTCAACGCATGCCTGTCAAATTTCGCACAATTACTCATGGTCAGAGACAAGCGTTTAAAGGAACTGTGTCGTGATGTTACTGGCGTGCGCCTGGGTCCGCCCCTGCTCGCGCCGCCAGTGCGGCTGTACCTCGGAACGCCGCTGCCCCGACCTGCGGTGCACTGCCTGGGGCGCCGCCCGCCGGGGTCGGCGCCGCCTGCTCGCCTCGCGTGTCAAGACAGTTGCCGTCTCGCAGCGCTCGTGTCTGCTCTGAATGACCGTGGTCTGACTAAAGGGAGAACGAGCAGATAAAACACGTAAAACTTGAATATGGCGCAGCCGACAGGATTCAAACCTGTGCGTCGACACCCCATCAAAGAAGCAACAGGGAAGCAGCAGAGAAGCAGCAGAGAAGCAGCAGGGAAGCGGCAGGAAAGCAGCAGAGAAGAAGCAGTCCGAGTAGCAGCGGGGAAGTAGCAGTCTGAGAAGTAGCAGAGAAGCATCAAAGAAACAGCAGGCGAGCGGCAGGGAAGCAGCAGGGAAGCAGCAGAGAAGCAGTAGAGAAGCAGCAGGGAAGCAGCAGAGAAGCAGTATAGAAGCGGCAGGGAAGCAGCAGCCTCAGAAGCACCAGAGTCGAGTGGAGGGTCATCCAAAGACCAATCTGAATTTCACCTTGCAGGTTGATCTTAAAGGGCACGATTTTTGACGGGTGCTGGTTGTGACGAATGTGAATGTTCCAAAGCTTAAAGAGTTGAAATCGGACGGCGGCTTTTTGGCGGTATTGAGTTCCCCGTCCTTTGAGCCTGAACTGGACCTTCAATGATGACAGCGAGACGGCAGGATTTTTGACGGACGCCAGTTCTTTCTTTGGTGAATATTCCGATGTTTGCAAGTTAAAAATCGGGGGATGAGTTGTAGGTGACATTGATTTCCCCGTCCTTTCTAGCTCGTGTTTGACCTTGATGAGCGACCTTGAGAGATCATGACTTGTTGGCGTACGCCAGCTTTTTCTGTGGTGAATATTCTGATGTTTGCAGGCTTAAAATGGGCCGGAAAGTTTTGGGGAATAATAACCAGCCTCCTTTTTCACTAACTCCTTTCCTTTAATAAATCGGCCTTCTTTGCGCCTGAATTCGATCTTGAAGGGTGACCTTGATACGTCAAGACTTTTCGACGGACGCTAGTTCGTTCTGTGGCGTATATTCTGGTGCTGCCGAGTTGAAAATTGGTTGGTAATTTTTGTGTGATGCGGAGGTCTCCATCCTGTGAGCGTGAATGTGATTTTGATGGATGATCATAAGAGTTCAGAACTTTTTGACGGACGCTAGCCCTTGAGCTTGTGAACGCATCGATGCTTGCAAGCTAAATATCGGCCGGTAATTTTTGAGTGACGATGAGTTCCCCGTCATTTGAGCCTGCGTTTGACCTTGAAGGGTGACTTTGGAGAGTAGTACCCCGAAAACTCAAAGCTCCCCAAGATATTTTTTGACAGATGACTGACGGACGGACGGAATATATATATATATATATATATGCATATATGACCACCAACGCTGATTCAACCTTTCGAATTAACCAGCAACAACGACTGGAAACACAGAGTAAGAATGTTGTTGTGGATTAAGGGGAGGGACTAACGGCCGACCAAACCTGTTGACAACCCCAGGTTCCGAGTCTACGGCACTGATCGACAGGAAACCTTCACCATTCCAGGCCATTTAGTCGATAACTTACCTTTTTCGAGCATGGTTGTTGTTGATTGGAGTTTTAGGGCGCGTCGACCACTGTGGTCATTTTGCGCCCATAACAACTAAATGACTACCTTCGGCGGCAAATGACTAAAAATATATATTATTCAGAAACGAAAGCGACTGAGTTGTGTCATGAACGCGTCATTGATATTAAATTTTCGGCAACCTAAAAACTTCCTACACGCGTTATAAGCTATTCAGGCAGGTTTATATGACGTGCAGAACTTAACATGCGACACGAACCTGAGGGTATGTTTGATATATGGTGACCTGTCACATAGTAAATCGGAGAGCGTCAGGGACGGCGCCGCAGGGCCAAAGTACCTCAGACGCTCGACGCGTAGTATGGGACAGCATACGAGCACATTTTCGAGCATGGTGATCTCGGATCATGTGAAAGGTCACCGAAACACAAAACCCGGAAAATAGGTTTGCCGACAACCCCATGCTTCGGGCCTATGGAATTGATTAGCATCAAACCTTCATCAATCGATATGCCATAGTCGATATCCTAATCTTTCCAGAATGTAGTGACCTGGAGTCGGGTCAAAGGTCACCAAAAACATGCGAAACCAGCTGAAGTTGGTTTGCAGACAACGCTTTGTTTCGAACCTACGGGACCGATCGGCACCAAACCTTTGCCAATTGATGTGCCATAGTCGATAGACTATCCTTACTACATGTTGTGACCTGGGATGGGTTCAAAGATCCCTTAAAATGGCTAAAATAACATGAAATTAGTTTGCAGACAAGCCCATGCTCCGAGTCTAACCCATGCTTATAGGGCTCAGAGCATATGGTTGTCTGCAAACCAATTTGTCCTGTGTTTTACCTTTTTGGTGACCTTTGACCCGACCAAAGAACACCACGTTCTGCAAAGGATAAGCTTTCGACTATGATTCATCGATTGGTGAAGGTTTCATGCTGGTCAGGGGCATAAACTCGGAGTAGGGGGTTGTCTACAGACAACCTCGAGTTTTCATTTTGTTTTTTTTAATTTTTAAACAGCGACTCCCGATTTTTACATGACATCAAAATTCAGGGGATCAAACAAGGAGCAATGCAATGCAAAATGCAATGCAAAAGAATGCAAAATTTTAATCACACGAGTGCTGGTGCCCTGTAAAAACCGTGGCTCACTGTTTCAAAAAATAGATAAAAAATCAGGGAGCGTTATCGGCAGGTAATTTCGAATTCTGCTCTGCACTTGTATTGATAAAGAGAAAATGGGTTATTACTGCTGTCTTATCTACCTTTTCGGCGTTTTTTGGTGATCTTCGATCCGACCCAAGTTCACCAGGTTCTGGAAATGTTAGCATATCGGCTGTGGCGTATCGATTGGTTGAGGTTGGTAAGGTGGGCCCCGAAGGAGCCCATAGGCCCCGAAGGACTCAGGTGAGGTCTTCCCAACTACACCGCTGCTTCTATCAGCTGGCCTGGACGCAAAGACTACGATGCATCTCTATGTGTCTCGATGCGAACAGCATGACGCCTTGCTTGTCCACTGCCACGACCGTTTTGGTACTACTGCTCCTTCCTCCTCCTCCTCCAGCAATTTGTAAACATATCATTATCTGGTATCGTGTTGTGTATTTGAATGGTATTTTTATTTACATATGCCTTACATGCGGTACATTGTAACATATGCACTGAAATTATTAGTCTGTTTGGGATTGCAATCTTTCTGCATACGCCCTGCACCTCAAGCATGTGCATCATTGTCTTTTTCGGGGTGGAGTTATTCTTCCACCAACGTGTTCACCTAATATTGATGCTGAGTAAGACACTGGGCTTCAAAAGCACACCTGACGTACGAGAGGACACACGTTTTATTTGATTCTGAAAACGTTTCAACCGTCTGTACCTTCTCCAATTGCCCAAAGGCTACCTCTGAAAAACCCTTTCCTATAGGCTTACAATACTGTGGCTTGCCCAGGCGCCCGCGGTGACGTCACGACGGGCTGCCAGATAAATCTTGGGCGACCCCGGATTTTGGATACATCTCTTTCGAATGGAGGACCCTTCGCCCTTGTCGGGGGCCCTATCTGGTAACCTGCCCGGGCATACTCGATCGTTAAGGGGCCCTCTACATTGGGTCTGGAGTACTTCCTATTTGAATGGAGAGCGCTGCGCTCTTGTCGGGAGCCCTATCTGTTAACCTGCTCCAACCCACTCGGTCACTCAGGGGCCCTCCACATTGTGTTGAGAGTGTTCCTTATTTGAATGAGGGTCTCTAAGCTCTTGTCGGGGGCTCTATCTGTTAACCTGCCCCCGCCCACTCGATCGTTCGGGGGCCCTCCACATGGTGATGTGAGTGTTTCTTGTTTTGAAAGGGAGAGCCCCATGTTCTTGTCGGGGCCCCATATGCTAACTTGCTCAGGCACACCCGATAGTTCGGTGGCC